GCGGCCATCACGGGAGAGGGGGAGAGAGTTTCTTCTTTTCCGACAATTTAGAGCGAAGATAATAGAGCGGCGTACTGAATCAACAACCTGTTGGAATTCCGTTACCTCGCTAAGCAGTTACTGCGCTCGCCCGTACGTAAAAACGACTTCCGCAGAGCGCGGCGGTGCGGCTCTTCATTCACGATGACGGCGGACGGATTCGCCAATCGTGCCCGGGAATATCGCGGGCGCAGGTGACACTCGTCGTCGAGATGGATGCACAAAGCGAGAGCGACAGCGGCGAATGAAAGTGACGTTTACGGGGCGCAGAAACGAGCCCGCAAACGCGCGGATCGCTCGCACCACCGCGCGAGCGTCGCAAAGAGAAGGAACGCCGCGCGGACGAATCTGCGGGCGAGTAATAATTCGCGAAGAAGTCGCGGGAAGCGATGAAGAAGACAGCGCGCGCGGGAAGCGAGGGGAGGACAGTTGACGCAACCGTGCTCGACAATTAGCGGCTCGGCGGACGCGGAAAATTATTTTCGCCTGCCTCATCGGCGGACTTCGCTTCAGACCAGTGTTTCTCAACTTTTCTTACCTCACACTTGAACTTACAGTTCAACTTCCGCGGCATACTTAAATTATGATGATAAAAAAAAGGATAAGAAAGAATGTGCCTCTTTTGGTTTATTTATTAACACGGACAAAATGCGCCGTCACGGCGAAAAAATAAAACGAAACAATTTGTTATGATCTGTGAGAAAAAGATAACAATTGAAATTCTTGAAAATTTTCGCGGCACGCCGGTTGAAAATCACTGCTTTAAATCGCGCCTCGAAAGAGAGGATTTCGTATTCTCACACGAAAATTCGTAAATTTATCTTCTCGCTCAAAGTACGGAACTCTCTCTCTCTCTCTCTCGTTGCGACCATTTCAGTTCATTGTTATTTCAGCATTATAATTTTTTAATCATATTCCTCTCGCTAATAATTGTTTGCGCAAGTCATATTTTCTCTCTCCTAATGATAAAATCCTAAAATACGCGCATAAATTCTTTTTTCCGTTAACAATTCCGTACTGTTAATAAATATGTAAATGACGTTGCATTGCAATATTTATGATACAGGATATTATAATAGATTATATATTAAATAATATCTCATAACACACACACATACACACACGGCGATATATAATTACAGGCTATCATCATCGACAGGCACTTTTTCATTAAGCGACGGTCGCTGGCGGAGTGAAGCCTCGCCGCGTACACGCGACGGCGGCCGTCAAAGTGTCAAAACAAAGTCTCATCGCGGTGTCAATGTCAACCCGATCGCGTCGCGTCGATCCCGGCGTCAACGGTGCGATCCGATTGATCCGCAATTTGCAAAATCAATCGGCCGGTCCGATAAAACACACGCGGCGCCGATCTCGGCGGCGCGGAGATACGCCGTTTTAATTGTCACCGCCGCCGCCGCCGCCGCCGCCGCCGCACCTGGATATCGCGTCGTCCGTTGGGCGCGTTTGTCGTCGTTCGCGCTTGAATCCATTAAAACCGATGCGAGGTGATAGCACTCGCCGATCCGGTACGACCTCGACCCGACTCAGCTCGGTTTATGGCGTGCTTCGCTTCGCGCTCGTAAAAAGTCGCGCGTTAAAAAAAACGCGCGCGCACTCGGAAACAACGCGACCACACGACGCGCGTCGTCGGTCCCACGAGGAGGGGAATTTCGGCGATGCAGCTACACGCCGTCGTCGTCCGTCGGCGGCCGAGCCGGCGTGAGAGATTAGTCTTGAATTAAAGCCAACTTTAAATTAATAGTCCGTTCGCCGGCAAGACAAGACAACGCCCCAAGGGCGTTTCATCAACCATTACTATATGTTTGACGGACGCTCGGACTATTACTCTTCGAGGCGGACTCCTCCCTGCTCCTTCCCCTCTCCCCCCCCCCTCCCCCCGCCGCCGGCATGATCCCCGATTGCACAAACTTGCGAAGAATCTCGGAGTCATGGTTTATGTTTAGACGCGAAGAAAGAGAGCGAGATACGACGGACGACGGACGCATCCGCCGCCATTCACCGCCGAGAATTTTTCGCTCGCAAACTGGTCTCGCGCGAGTAATGTCCGTTTCTACCGATGTCATGATTAAACGTTCACGCGAGTTTGTTCCGAATAAAGCTGAGACCCCCCCGAAATAATAAAGTAGAACCCGTGAAACGTGCCAGTTGCACGACTCGCGCCTCTCTCTCCATTGGGATAAATATCGACGGTTTTCCAGACGACAGCCACTTTCTCATCGCGCATTCGCATCGCGGGAGATTCCGCGACGAGGACGCCGAATGTAATCGAAGGACTCAACTCGTCGGTGCGCGCGCGCGCGCGCGCGTGGTAGAAGTTTTGTTGATGCGCATCGTCGACGCCGACGTTGAAATTGCGTTGGAGCTTTCGAGTTAAACGCGTTGGCTCTCTCGCCGCCGCCGCCGCCCGCCACCGCGAGCGAGCGCAAAGCAGCGGGAACAATCCGCAGTGAGCGAGCTGTGAATATTACACACGCGTCGCGCGCCGAATCCCTCGCGACGATTCTTCGCGCTCCGCGAAGAGCTGCCTCGCGCGGAGCGCGTTTAAAGCCGCGATTGCCGAATTCGCGTTTCGCGACTCGCGCGCGTGGCGCGAGTCGCGACAGCTGCGAATCGAATCCTCTATTCTATCTCTTGCCAATTCCGACGTCTCCGGTATCTTCCTTCCTTCCCTTCCCCCTCCCCTCCCCCGCCCCCAATTTCGTCGAGGGCGTCGGCCTCGCAGTCAGACGAGAGAAAAGCGAGTCGCGTATCGCAGAGGCATGCGACTAAACCGTTCGATTAATTCGCGAGCGTCTGTTTATCGCTGAGCACGCTCGCTTGCTCGCGAGAGAAAGAGAGAGAGAGAGAGAAAGAGAGAGGGGGGGGGGGGTAGGCAGAAACGACGAAGAGGCGCGAGTTCCGTCAACGAAAGGGAGCGATGAGATCCGGATGCTTCTGTAAATCGCTATCGCATGAAGAGTAGTTTTAAACTAAGTTACCAGGCGACGACGGAAACGCGCGTGAGCGCTCGCTGGTGCAAGGAGACATCGCTTTTTCAAGCTCACTCTGATGTTAATGCATCCGAAGCCGCGAGATTCTACCTTCCGCGGCGGCGGCGGCGGCGGCGGCGGCGGCGGAGGAACGAGGGCGTCGCGCCGCATGTCGCGTGAATACATGCATCGATATGTATATATATACATATATATATCTATGTATATATGTATGTACGTATGTACATATGTACATATGTATGTATGTATGTACGAGGTATGTATGATACCGCTGCGAAGGTCAAAGGTTAAAAGGGACCGCCGACAAAGAGCATGGAATTGGCCCCGTTTCGCGCGAAGCACGCGCTGAATTTCGAGCACGGCCCGCGCGCCAATTAAGCGTCAGCGACAAAAGCGGAGGCTGAATTTAAAAACGCACGCCGGGCTGGATGTTAATTATCTCGATCCGGGGGCCGAGTGTGTGTCGCGGTGTCGTCGTCGCCGGATCACCAGCCAGCCGGCGACAAGCCGGCGCGGCGGCGCGAGGGCCGTGCGGAAGCGCGTTCCAGCGAGTGAACGTTGATTGCCCCGCCGATGATTGCTGCGCGAGATTTCGCATTTTGCAGCGCGATCGATCGTGCTTATCGATTAATCGCTCGGGCAGAGGGGGAGGCGCACCAAGTCCCGCTCAATTAGCGCGAAGACGCGCACACGTTCCGCCGCGGCAAATCGGAACGAGCTGAGCGTCCGACATCGACGACGACTCGCACGCGGGAAGAAACTTCGCTTAATTACAGCCAACCGCGTGCGCGACCGACGGCGACCACCGACAATCTGAATTTGCCAATCTCGGATTGGCGATTCTCCGTCAATTAGCCGCTCTCACGCGGCAAATTACAGTCTGTCTCGCCGTAACGCCGTCGCGAAAGAAGGATCTCTGATTGCGGACGGGGAGGGGGGGGGGAGAGGAGAGCGGCTCTCTGCGAGGGGACCGTGCGTTGATACAAACTACTGGCTGGAACTCATTAAGGAATTTTGGTACGCAAGGTCGAGGTATTAGCGGGGATTAGCGGCGTTGCCTAAATGAGGTATTAATTAGTATACCAATTTTCGCTTGAGTAACATTCTGTGCTACTATGCGCCTGTCTATGCGTGTATATGTGTGTGTGTGTGTGTGTGTGTGGTGAGACAGCGGTTTACTTGTTAAATTTTCTAACCTCAGCTAATGTCTCCCCCCCTTCTCTCTCTCTCTCTCTTTTCTCGCTCCCCCTTTTCCAGCGCGCGGTGTCTTAAAAAGTCTTTAAGCTGTCGTTTATTTTTCACGCACGAGTCTCATAGGAGAGAGAGAGAGAGAGAGCGAGAGAGCGAGAAAGAGAGAGAGAGAGAGAGAGAGAGAGAGAGAGGAAGGGAGAGGAGAGAGATTACAGATAACCCTTTTATAATTGTGTAAATTTCGCGCGGTCGTGTGTACTTACGCAAAACAGCTCGCTACGATTTTTATCGCGCGTCTCTCGATTCCTCGTGAACCCCTCCGGCGAGGAGGGATCGCCCCAGCTTACCGTAAGCTCGGCTCGCGTCCACGCTTCCTTCCTTATTTACTCTCACGCATCATCACACGAAGAAGAACGATCGCCTAACGGAGCACCGAGGCGCGCTCCGAGAGAGCAAAAGCATCGTATCGTCTCGTTCAATCGGCGTCTCTCGCGCGTCTCGATGGAACGCCGATCGCGAGCGCTGACAAGAGAGCGCACTCTTCCCTCCGAGCGATCGAAGCGCGAGGAATAAAGACAGATCGCCGTGACCGGCGGCGAGGACGCAACGACGATCGCCGGTCGGCTACGCGTCCGCGCGAGAGACGGAACGGAGGGAGTCGTAACGGAGGAAAGAGAGAGAGAGAGAGAGAGAGAGTCGCACGCGCGTGAGACGTATCTCGACTGGGAGAAGAGGAACAAACGACGACGGTGTATTTACCATTTCATCGCGCCGGCGGACCAGGACGCTTCGCTCCGGGTCGCGTCGCTCACATCCTCCACATCATCCTCGGCCGGCGCCCTCCGTGGACAGCGGGGGCGGATGCGTGAGTAACTCCGGACGAAGAGCAGCCAGGAGGGCCAGGAGGGACGGCCAGAAGGGATCCAAGAGGATCCGGAAGAAAGGGCTAACGCGAATCGATCGCGGGAAGCGCGTGCGGCGACCGGTACCACCGTCTGTCGTCGCGTCGATAGTCTGCGAGAACGGTTCTTTTTTTCTCTTGCAAGCTGCGTTCAGACAGCAGGAGAGGAGACAGAGAGACAGAGAGAGAGAGAGAGAGAGAGAGAGAGAGAGAGAGAGAGAGAGAAAGAGAGAGAAAGAGACACCGTATGTGCGATACACGACGCAAACGTTCCGAACGATGCGCACACGCGTGAGGCGCGGGACCGACTGGCTTCAGCTCGCTCTCTGCGATCTCAGCCCCTGCGTTAGCGCCACCTGCTTCGCACGGATGCTGCCCCTGCTGCCGCCGCGCCGCGCCGCGCCGCGCCGCGCTGCCACCAGCGGTACATTCCTCGTCTCGTGGCACGTCACTGCTCCCTGCGGGGGCGCGATGCGGGGTTGCGGAGTACGCGTGAGTCGAAAGAGCGCGGAAGAACGTCGGAGGAGCGAGGGGGACGTTTTCGGCGACCTGGTGTGTTTCCTCCTCTCCATCCATAGATCAAGATTGTAGCTGTGATATCGTCGCGAGAGGAAGAGACCGGGGGCCGGGGGTTGTGTGCGGACGGTAACGGCGACGGTACGTTCGTCTGCGGGACGCATGTCTTTCGGCATGTTCTTCCTTCCGACGAGATTAGGAGCACATCAAGTGGCGCAATGATCGCGAGCATGATCGTAGGAGAACAGAGATTGAACGGCCGAGTTGAGACGTGACGTCGGCACAATTAGAGAGATACCCGAGTAGAAAAATTAATAGGACTCTGATGTTTCTCTTCCGAACGAAGAACGTTCGGAGGAGAATGAGAAAAAGAGTTCGAAGAGAATGAGGATCTGATTATTTTTCTCGAACATTAGTCGGGCCCTGGTAGGGGGTAGAAAGACAAGGACCCGATAAGATATGTTTACAAATGGTTTAACGGGTCCTTATAAGGCAATATTATGAGGTCCTTGTAACGAAATATTTTTTACGATTGCTTGAGTAAAAATATTCCTTCTTATCGTCCCAAGAAATTTCTTTATTTCTTTATAACCCTTGTTAGTAGACAATTTTTAGTAGAGAATTTTATTTTAAATCGATTATCTTCAGAAAGGAAAAATCATCACCGGCGCATATTATGCATCATTATTAGAACGTTCGAAGCCTCCTGCGACTTTTTTCACTTCCGAGCACAAAGAACGATCGGGAGGAAAAAGTTCGCGACCGATGAGTGAAATGATTGCCGCCGGAAACGAGTATTTTGCAGGACCCAACTAATTACCTTACCGACGGAATGAGAAGACTAGAAAAGCGACGGACAAAGCGTACCGAGCCGAAGGGAGACTATATCGAGAAACAAAAGCCATTTTGCCGAAAAATGTTAGTTGGTTCGAATTGTTATTGGCTCGCACCTTCCCAAATAAGCCGCGTAATTGCGTGGCGATCGGAGTAAAAGCGTACGAACGCGAAAAATGTGTGTACGAGCGTGGAAGCGCCAAGTACTGCGGAGCTCGTTAAGTCCGCTCTTTATAGCCGCACTTGTTGCAACTATCCTGCTCGGTGTTTCAGCTCTTTCAATTTCGCCGAGCGACCCGGGATCCCAGCCGGGAGATACAGTGACGGCCGAGCCGCACGAACTCAAGGTCGGAATTCAGCGCCTTGAGTCGAGCCGAGCGAGTGTCTTCGTTCGAAATTGAAGAGCGAATCTGCGAAGTGAGACGCTCCATTCGTACGACGAAAGTCGCTGGAAACATTCGCTCGTATGGATTAAGAGTCCACTCGAAGTTCCAGGGTAACATTCACTCTCCTGCGACTTGGAGTCGGGCGGCGTCTTCGTCGCCGTCTCGAGCGCGTTCTCGTTCGTCTTGAGTGAAGCCGAGAAATTTACGGAGTATCTTCTTGCCTTTTGTCCACCGGTTGTCAGATGCACACCGCTTCGGCGCTTTTAATCATCAGCTTACTTTAGCTTCATTAGAAAACGCAATTGAGGCTAGCGATGGCAAAACAGAGCCATTGTCTCGCGTAGCTCACAACACGCGGACTTATCCAACCGGGAGAGGTCGTCGGCTCAAGGATACTTTGAGAAATGTAAAAAATGTATTCGCGCTTTCGCAAAGGGGATCTCGTATCTACGCAGAGAGGTCTGTTTTTAACGACGTAGAGTTTCTGCCTTTCTCTCTCCCTCCTCCCCTCTTTCCCTCTGTCTTTCGTTGTCGTTTTTCCTTCCGGAATCAACAAAGCGGCAATGCTGAAAAACACGGCTTTTCACGGGCATCTCGCGCGCTCGCTGCAAACCACCGCGCTCTCGCCATTTTCCTTTGAAACTTTACTCCATTAATTGAAGAATTCTCTCCCTTTCGCACACATCGCGCCGCCAACTCTTTTGTCAACCGACTTGTTTCTCCCGCGTTTGCGTTACCGCCGCCGCCGCCGCCGCCGCCGCGGAATTGTTTGCATTCATTACATCCGCCGCGATATGAAAGAGATAGAATTTTGCGAGCACCCATCATGCCTGCGCGCGGTGTTGCTTCAAACACGGCCGCTGTCACACGCCGAGTTGTCGACTGTATAATCAACAGGCAAATATTTTTCCTTTGTAAAATCTCGCCGAGACCGCCGCGCCGCTTTCTCAGGCGGTCGCTGGCTCTCCCTAAATACTATATTGGCTTACGAGTAATTGAACGACAGTGGCCGACAGGAAAACTTTCGGCCGACGCGGAATTGAAGACAAGAAAAGGAGAAAGAAAACGTGAAAGAGAAACGCGATCGAGGAGAAAATTCGCGCGTTCTTTCCTTTTTCTCTTAATCCCTCAACCCTTTCGTTCTCCAAACGTCTCGGCGTGAAATTTCACTCGAGGAGTGATTCTCCCCCGCTCATACGGGCGAGAGAATCCCTCGCTGCGAATCGAGTCGAGTGAATATTTTCACTCGAAATGGAAGAGCGAGTCCGCGACGCGTTCAGCCGTCACAAGAGCAAACCCACTCTAATCCACTCTAATGGATCAAGAATGCACTCTAAGCCGGAGTGAAACACTCTTGCGACGCCGAGTGGCGGAATTGTCGTCAGCGCTTCGAGTGAATTTTCACTCGTCCTCAGCGAGATCTCACTCGAAGAAACTCAGAGAGAGAAAGAGAGGGGGAGAGAGAGAGAGAGAGAGAGAGAGAGAGAGAGCAGGTCTCTCTCTCTCTCTCTCTCCTCTCCCCAGGATCTCCTCTGATTCCGCCGATCGACGAGCTCCCTCGCGGGACGGGAGATCGCGAGCGCGAGGCTCGCCGACCGGCGAACCGAGCCAAGGTAAACAGAGACTGTTCGCACACCGAGGCGACGATGCACCAAGTGCCAAGTGCCGGCGATTCGCCATGCTGACTGCATCCGCGCGCGCGCGCGCGCCCGCGTCTATTGTCCGCGCACACGTCGCTCCCATGATAATTGGAACGCCCGTTGCTGCCGCACCACCCTCTCTACGCCGCAAGCGTGAATTGCCAGTTCTGCGATACGTGAAAATGCGTCGTTCGATCGATGCGTGCGCCAATTTTCGGATTCACGGCATATCGTTGAACCGACGAAGCATCGCGCTTCGGCCCGCGTTCATTGCAGGGTTCCCGCTTGCGGGACGACGAAGACGGACGGCGCGAACTTCTGCGACAGACGCCCCTCGAAGAAGCGTAGAAAGGAAATAAGACGACTCTGAGACATCTCTCGGGCGTTTTTGCTGGCTGCCAGCGGCGAGATTCGTTCGATTCATTTGTCCGCACGAATTAGTCTCTCCCTCTTTCTCTCTCTCTCTCTCTCTCTCTCTCTCTCTTCCAGATTGCTTTGTGACTTGGCACATCGCGGTTCGTCAGCCGAGTACTTTCTCGGCAGGGACCTTGCTCGTTATCTTTTTACTCTTCGCTCTTATTTTATCTTTGTACTCGGACGCGCAGGGTACATTTTTTCTCTTTTTCTCATCGAGGACTTGGACGACTTCGTCGATTGCGATTGATTTCGCCGCGATTTAAGGTCCTTGCACAATGTCAGGCAATAGGAACAGGCAGTAGAAATGAGGAGCAAGAAATTATCGTCATCGATGCACAATAACGCTACGATGATAAGAACCATCCAACCGGAACGTTCGACTTCATAATTGATCTAATCAAACGACACATAATTCAACGTTTTTCTGTATTTTGGATTCATGCTGTGAGGTCAATATTAATGTGTGTATAAACAAAGTAAATCATAGAAACCTGTATTGCATATAATTTTATTAGTATAATAATATTTTCATTCACATCTTTCGCAGATCATTATGGATGACGAAAACACGATGATGTATTTCTCTGCGAGCCGCAATTTCTGTCCGCGCATCCTCTTTCATTTGCGTATCCTTATGGTATTATCGTACAGATATGGGGGAGAACGAACCGTATCGATCAATAATTCATCCCCACATTTTACATGTCTATTAAACGAGTTTTCATCGAATGCATCCAGTCCGTCGTCCAGATACAGATATCTTTCTCTTCTTTATCCTTGAAATGCAGCGAATAGTCATAATGATCTAAGGTATTGCTGTAGAGTTCTACTTGTACAATATGTACAAATATGCGCCACTAAATCAAGCTTCAACAATCTGAACACTCTGATTGGTTCGCAACAGACAATAGGAATAGAATTTCCAACATGACGGAAATCCTGTGTCTGTTACCTATATACTCGTATATGTTCGTTCTGCTTTCACACACGGTTTCTGCTATGTTGGATTTCTTTTCGCTCCCATTCCTTGTTTCTTTTGCTTGCTCCTATCCGCCTGTCGCCTGCACGCAGAAGACTATTCAGTTGATATAATTGAACTTCAGTTACGACAAGCGAAACTTTCGGTTGCTCAGGAACTCAACTGAAAATTCAGCTGTAACGGCAGGAAAATTCAGTTGGAAGGTTTCCGGTGCCCTAAAAATACACATTCGACCACCTCAGCCGGACATTAAGTTGTCAAGAATACAAGTTTCATTCGTCACAACCTATATAGCTTAGTTTATGTTCATCGACTGTCTTCACATGGATCAAACAAAGCGTCTCTATGTACCTAAGTGGAGAAGGAAAACGCACACACGGGTTCAAAATCGCATCGTTGGCATTGATTATTATTAAACTTTTTTCAAACAACAAATCTTCTCGGTCGCGATAATTGAGAAATTTCGCTTTTTTTTTGTGTGTGTGTGTAAAAGTAGCCTTTTGTAAAAGTAGCCGAATATATATTTTGCTGTAGTCACTATCATTTTCGCGACCGAAAATCTCTTCTGTTCCCTCAATCGAAAGCAATTGTTGGCGTGAGTGGTTCTTCAGTTGGCGAAACGGAATTTTCTGTTAGCGCGACTGGATCTCGTGACGACAGAACATTCCTACAGTTGTCGCAAGAGAATATTTTTCTGCGTGTGGCATTGTGCGCGGGCTCCTTTACCGGACACATCAGGACTGACGGCTCAGGCGAAATTCGAATCTGCCCAACGCGCTACCGAACCTTTCAAATCGCTCATATCAGGCCCGATATTGCTGAACTTTCACTCGATCGGACTGCACGGCCAGTCGCGGAGGAGTAATCCTATCGGGTCGCGAATTACGCAGACCTCGCGATATTGCGAAGTCCGAACGGGCCGTGTCCGCCAATCAAGAGATATCAGCCGTTAATTAGCAGACAAGTGCCTCAGTGCCAGAAACCAGGACGTTCTCGTCGGCCGGCGCTAATTAACGCCGATAACACCTCGCGCTCGCGATCGTAAGGACCGCTCGTCGTCGCTCCGTCGCGAATTTCCCTCGCCGCTTTTTCAATGCTCGAAATCATCCCCGAGTGGTCTCTTCTTTCTTACTTTCTTCTTGTGTGAATGTTATCTCCACGCTAATGGAGCGTGAAACTTCGGTGCCGACAGCGGGGACACGTCGCAATTAACTATTTATACCTACGCAGTTTTCTTTTCCTTATCCGTTTTTCAATCGTGCGACTTTGGTGCTTCAACAGCAAGCCTTCCGCGATCGCTATTTATATCTACGTGTGTGTGTGTGTGTGTGTGTGTGTGTTTGGCGCGCACCGAGAGTTCTTTCTTTTTCGATAAGCCGACGATAAGCGGTTGCGCGTGTGCTGTGGGATTAATTACGTTCTATAACATGTCATCTCGCAACGTTCTGTATTGGTACACATCGCTGTGTAATCGTATTAATTAATGCATACTAGAGTGCACGGATTTACCGCAATTACCGCTTCTACCCGTTTTACCATTAATCTTCATATCTGCGTTCTTGTATACCGCACAAGCTCCGTTCATGCGCGCGCGCGCGCGACACACCCACACACACACATATCGTGGAATGTTTAATGATCGGTGACTAACAATAGATATTCGGTGATGATTTCTCTCTATCTCTTCGCACGACGCGATCGGAACTTCACTTTACAGAAAGTTTGAAAATGACATGTCACTTGTAACACCGTTACCATTATTCTCCTGGTAACGACTTGATGTTATTTAACTTTTTTTTTTTTTTAATTGATAATGCTAACGCAATTACATTTTTGAGCAACGGTAGCGGGCGGCACCGTGCATCGTCCGACGTTAGCTTAAATGAGAGAAAAGAAAAGAAAAGAAAAGGGGAGAAAGACCTGGGGGTGTCGCCTGGTTGTGCGCGACGCAAGGACGGGAAAATTCAAAATTCGGGGAAAATCGTCGCGACTGAATAACAATATGGTCTTGCTCTGCGTCTTTATTCGTCTACACTCAGCTAGCGCGTTTACCTTTACATCCGAATCAGGCCGGATTTATAAAATCGTCTATCCTCTTATATTGTATACGTATATATAATATATATCCTGTGATGTGTTCTCTCTCTCTCTCTCTCTCTCTCTCTCTCTCTCTCTTTTATATTCTACCTATCATAGATACCGTTGATCTATTTAGCACACAGCCGTGCGGACCATCTCCGGATAGCGGCCGGAGTGTATTGCACTGAAGTGATGCGAAATGGTAAAAACGTCGGATAAATGCGATGGGAAACTTTGTCACACGATATACGAACGTACAAAACAAAAGCTTTATCGCTGCACGAGCTTCTGCTCTTCACTGTCATTTTCCTCATTGTTTCCTATTTTTGTTTTTTTTTTTTTTTCTTTCTTTCTATAGCATGTTCTAACACGTGCACGCTCCGTCGCGTTCACTCGGTGGTGACCGTCGCGTCAATCAAACGTATTAACAGTCTTCTGAACGACGTCGTCCTGAAAATCTACCAAACGGGAGGAGCTGTCGCTCGATTACACGGACACACGTGTGCCGGAGAAACACACTCCGTATAAAAACCGAGGATAATATTAATAACGCACTAGGTCTGTTCGTTGTCGAAGAGACCTTCTCTCCCGAATTCGTGCACACCGATGCAACAAGTTAGAGCGGAAGAATGCAAAACTCGCTTCACTTCAGCACTTATTGCACTGGTCGAGAGGTTCTTCGCAAACGAATTCGCCTATTATTGTACATCGAGTAGCTTAAAGATAACGAACTGCGCGACACTCTGGTCTTCGTCGATAAATTCCCTTACGTATTGATACATTTAATTCGACAATATGTACATACACACGCGACGCGTCGGCTCGGTGACTGACAAGAAAATGCGCAAAGTGTATCACTACTCGACGAGTCACATTAGATCGTTGGAGCGTCGCTTGAACGTTTCAAATTGGACGCGCGTTACCTCGTGCGGCAGAATAGGCCGGCCTCTCTTGCAATTTGAGTCTATATTCCCCGACGAGATGAGGGCGCGCTACTTTTAACGAAGCGTCAATAAAGATCAACGCTATCGCACAGCGTCGTAATCGCGTAAAACTACTCTCTTCCTTCTTACACGCAACATTGTTATTACTCATTCGCTCGCTCGCTCGCTCGCTCGCTCGCTCGTCCGCTCTCTCAAGTTCCTCTCCTCTTCTTTCCCTCCCTGTTATCACGTACTTGGCAACAAAATTGCGTAACGTCGATCAGTCAACGAACGTGTTCTCTGATAACACGCCGCCGTTCGCACAGACAGATTTCTTACGTGCCTGGAACTGTGCTCATAAAAATACTCTTTGTTTCTTCTCCGTGCACGCGCACCGAAAGCATATCATATCATTGAAGAGTGCAACAACCAGCGGTGCAAGGACACGCGGTGCATCGCCGCTCTCCTCGTCATATCGCGCGAACGCATTTTCGCGCCGATGATTCGTACCGAACGAATTAGCTCTGCTCGGAGAAAGTCTGTCGGCGATTAACGCGTACTCGTGAGAAATCTCAGAAAAAAGAAAAAGAGCTTAGGAGGGAGAAAGACGCGTCCGTATATGCAACGTATAAAAGTTCCACGCAATAATGTGCGTCTGATGCATGATCGATTGTACAAAATTAACCGAGCCTCACGAGTGATTATCTAACGTCTTAGAACGCACCGCCAGAAAAGAGCGAGAAGAGACGTCCCTTTATCTCGATTCATCCCTATGCCTCATATATGTACACAGAATCAAGTTCACTAGAATTCGCGCGATCGAAGGGGCGAAAAGTTCTTTGATCGCGAATCGGCGCGCTACCGTATGTTTATATACACAAGTATCGCATAAAATCTCGTTCCTTATCCTCTAAGTATCAAGAGAGACTTCTTTCGTTTGGTTATATGCGTACGCTACGTGTATGAGTACATCTCTCCGATACACGTCGAAAGATACCGACCGGCGCACTTAACCGAGACATTCGTAGGCACTTATAAAAAGCACGTAATACATAGCCTTACAACTATTACACGACACGTCTCGTATAGAGAAGATAACGATTGTAACGGAATTATAGTATCCTGTCTCCCACGCCACCACGCACGGCGCGGTTAGAGGTAAGATGAAGAACGTAGATACAATAAAACAGAATCATGATGATTTATGAAGGACTGAGTATGTATCGGTATATATCGAGAAGAGTTAGACGTGAGACGCTTGCCACGCGGGAGACGGAGATCACATGAGAGACACAGCGTGTGACTTCAGCAACGACGCTGTGTCAGGCGAAAAAAAATGTCATTTTCGTGTCGATAGAATTGATCAATCAATAGATCATGATTGGAGCAAATTTTTTTGTTTCACAAAGATTATAGCAATATATAGTAACGATACTACACGAGACTAACATTGGAATTATCAAAACAATATATGACGCATCAACGTCAATAATATTGCTGCTGACTCAAGAAGATTTACTCTGATTATGGCGCAGTTGGTCAATTCTATTGACGCAACGGCATCTTTTTTTTTGACCGCGACCTACAAACGCGATATCTGCACGTGACGATAATCCATGAGAATTCTACAGAACTAAAAAAATTGACAAGAATGATTCTCTTAGGCGAATGTAAATAGAAATGTAAATATACTTTCTTATAGTTTTTATACAAATCATAAAATCGCGACCGATTCACGCGTCTTCCTTTCACGACGTATGAATGCGGACTTGTCATATCTCACATGATATCTTTAAATGCTCTCGCTCAGAGCTGACCTCTCGTATAATCGATCACCAGGCTAAATTATATTTAGAGAAAAAAAGGCGAAAAAAAAGGCCAGGAAAGAAATGCCCGCACTCTGTTGACCTCTCAAAGAGTGCGTTTTTCGTTAGATTTCTCAATTATGTTTCTCTAGCGATCGTACGCGAAATATCAGACGCATTACGCGCGTTCGCCGAATGTTTCTCTCTTACATAGTAGTCCGACGAAGGACAACAACAATCCCGGTATGTGTATCGACTCTATGAGCGACGTCGTATCGGGCTCACTTTTCCGACTCGTCCAGGCGTTTCCTCAAATATGTCATGAAATCTATCAGAGCTATGGATAGCGATCTGTCCACCACTTTCTGCGGTATCCAGCCCTTCAGGTTCGTGTTCAAGATCCATGTGAAGCGACACTTGTTGCTGTTCTCGTCGGATAATTCCTCCGCTGCCCAACAGCTCACGCCGTTCTCGCCCCTTAAAGAACAAAATTCGACACGCTCAAGATAAACGGCAAAAGTCCAGACGCGCTTCGGGGAAGGGCCGAAGTGTCTTAATTTATCTTGACCATATTGGTCGAAAACAACGCCTTTCTTTTATTATTGACCTGCAAAGCCCGCGCATAAGCTCTAATTGGCGATTTATACGCGATTGATTATTGATTTGGCGAAGAGAAATTACTTCATTTAATTTCGAACAAAATTCGACCGGCCACGACCACCGGTCTCTCTATCTCTTTCTGTCTCTTCTTCTTCTTCTTCTTTCTTCCTTCCTGGCTCGCTTTTCTCCGTCGATTTTCTCACCTGATCATGTGCTTGCGATTCGGGATCGCCGTCGCGGGGATGGATATGCCGCTGCTGATGTAAAAATTGCCGTATTTGTTACGGTGCCGCAAGATAATGAAATCCCGCGCCGTGATGAGCCCGCCGCCTTGCGGGTTCGTCGACTGGTAAACGATATCCGTGTTTTCGTCGATGTTCTGGTTAACAGAGGATTTTCGTCAATGCAGCCAAGTGTCGCAAGCAGGAGGAAGGAGCAGGGTGACTCGAATGCTCACCTGCAGTTTCACCGATTCCATTACGAGCTTGTTCCACGAAGCTTGTTCCTCGATTCCTTCGAACAGCCAATCGACTAGCGTGCTGGCAGGCGCGTCAACGACGCCCTGAAATGTAATGATCAAATCGCATCAGTAATTAGTCAAAATAATTATTCTTTTCCAGTAATTCGGCCAAAAAATTTGATCCGACAGAAGTTTGATCTTCTGCGATAAAAGTACGCGAACGTATTCAAAAAAAATTGAGGATCGTTAGAGAATAATATATATAAACAAGGACAATTACTCGATTAAAAAATGATACAAATTGCACTCAAAGTCAAATTTTCTTGAAAAACCGAACCAAATTTTTTGACCGATCCGCATATAACCCGTAAAAGGAATAAATTAAGACTCTCTTCTTTAACAATAAATCACATATAATTTACTTGACGTCGCATTGTCGCAACGACTTACGGTAATCTTGACGATTCTTCCGTCCAACTTGGGTATCTGCATGTAGGACACGACATCGCCCTCGGTTGTGATGGTCTCGATCTTCCATTCTTTCGACATCAACAAGTCATGGCAGCTTTGCAGCAACTTGGACGCCTTCGTCTTGTACTCGTCCACCTGTAAGCAAAGTCCAGAAGAGATCTTAATCTTAATGGAAACAACGTTGCGCTTAAAGAACATTCGATCAACAACGCAACGAAAGACGTGATTGCACATATTATCTTTGATATTCAAATGGCGATCAATACGATATCTAGCGATACAATGGGTGATCCTTGATCTTCGAATTCTGTTGCAAGTTTGTCGCATGCGCGATAAATAGAATTCTTTGGGGGCGAAGACGCGTGTCTGATGAACACGTTATACATGTATGCGCGCGTGCAGTTTAGTGCAAGCGCACTCGACAAGTCGGGATATATATAGCGCTAAATAGCAGATAATGGCAAAGTGCAAGATATGGAGTCACCAACGAGATGCGTCGGTTTCGAAATTAATCGCTTAATCAAGCGGCTTGTGCTTCTTGACACACGTAGACCCACCCAGAAACGCGACTCGCTGTGCGCGCAGATAAATTAATTATACTTGCACGATTTAATGGATCGATCTGACAGAATCAACAGCAACGATACAAACATCTAATATCCATTAGCTCACGAATTATCGCACCTCTTCGACTCGTTCGTTCGCTCGTTGCTGCTCGTTTTCAAATTAACAGCAGAGGTGAATCGCGACTCACACTCGCACCAAGAGCTAATAATCACGACCTGCGAGTAAATTAAAGAGTGAAGGACAGGAGGAGGGGGGGGGAGGAGGGAGGAATAAACGAATTAGATGGCTAAGAAACTCACTCTGGAGAACAGTCCGCTGGTCGACGAGGTGTCTTTAAGGTTTTCCCTCGAGTACCATTTATTCTCCACCGGCTTGTGCGAGTACGTATCGCCGAAGAAGAAGCTACGTATGAATTTCACGTCGCACGCGCGGAGAATGACTGAAGGCATGGCGATAGAGTACAATGCAAATTCAACGAAGCCGCTCGTACAAAAGTCCAACGTATAAAGAGATAACTCGGCCGGGAAAACACAACTAAATGTTTATTTATCGTTCGGGTTATCTTCGAGTCAGTGAGAAAAATATAGAAAACAGCCGCGCATGCTAACATTCGTTTTGCTGAACGCGACCGATTCTCGATCAGAACGAAATAATTTTAGCCTCTTTGAGGCACGATGATGCTTCTTGGTCGCTTCAATCAACGTCTGTGTAGTTTCCGGTCGACGGCTTTCTCGAATTCGCGAACGCCTCCTCGAACGAAGTCTGTGCGAGCGAAATACCGAGTGTCTGACACTACATACGACGCGAGAGAAATTGCGATAAAGCCGCGCGCACTCAGCGTACTCTGTGTGTGTGTGTGTGTGTGTGTGTGTGTGTAAGAAACACGGTCGACTAAGAGTACCGCGAGTTCTTCGTCGTGCTTTTATACCCGGCTCCCCAGATGCAACAAGCGTACGTCAACTGGCAGCACCGTAATACGAAACGGCGGTAAGGCGATCTTTAATAACGCGTAAACAACGCGCTTGGCGAATTTCAACTTTTCACGATGACCTTTCACGATCGAAATCGAAATTAAAAGATAGAGTTAGTTAAAAAGCAAAAAGTTTATAGAAGATTCAGAAGAATCTAGGAGATGAAATTTTGCCGTGTCTAACACAGGGCCTAGCGATTCCATGCACGAGAGATCAGAAGATTTGGAAGATTTCCGCAAGTCTTCCGCTTCTTCAACCCCTGATTAGATTCGAAACCTTGAGCGAAGAATATTTTGAATGAAATCTGGATCATGAGACCCGAATATAAAAGTAGTATTCTACTTTGCGATGCACCGAGGTGCTCGCGCATCTCGCCTACCTCGTATGGCGTGAGTGCCGCTACACACATGAGCACTTCGCTGGGTATGGTCATACTACTCGTGTCCTCTTGCTTCCCGGAGATATCATCTTCGTTGTCGGAATTGTCAGAATCCATGGGTGTGAAAAATGTACTCATGTGATCGACGTTTTGCCGCGATTCGGAAGTCGCTTGTATCAGTGGAGATCTCTCGGTTGCAGAATGATCTATAAATATCGTCAATTTGTCGATACTTTAGCCTTCCTCCACGCTTTCTCCCAGACAGACATTATTTAAATATTCTTGCATCTTGCTGTTGACTACCGATTCGCAGGAAAGCATTGAGTTTTTCTGACAGGAACTTACTTCGAAACCAGTTTCTCGCTTGAATCTCCTGAGGAATCACGCGGAAGTCGAAGAACCAAGCCTCCGCCCATGCTAGTACGAAAGATATGATGATCAGCAAAACTTGAAATACCGGTTGATTGGTCGATGACCACTGAAAGACACAAATGCGTCATATACAGAAATTGGCTCGTTAAGGTCGATGACAATATAAATTTAATATATACGAATTATATAATTATATAATTATACTATTAAAATACTCACATCAAAAACAAAAACCTTGCCGATTAAAAAGACACATGTTGCAGCGGTTGATATCTGAAAGACACAAATACGAAATACATTAACTTTTGTATCGCGCGATTGTTAGCAATATTATAAACAAAGAAATCGAAAGCATTAGAAAAACCCATTAGAATGACCCCCTATTTTTTGTTTCATTTCATTAATTGCTCACATTCATTGTAATTATTGTTTTTTTTTTTTTCCTTGAGAGGAAATCAAAACGAGCTTGCAGTTTATACTTACAGCTATGATGATCCAATGATTGATATACAGCAGTGCATAAAAGAGCAACAAGACTGTGAACCTGCAAATCGCTGCCATCTGAGAAGATGACATCCGTAAAATCTCTGCTCCCAATCAATAATGAAGAATTATGACGAACTGAATGTCATTTTCGTCATCTTGTTATTAAACATAATAACATACAGAATGTACATACCACAATATCAAACAGGGACGTCCTTATATGATAATGAACCACCTGATCTATGAAAGCTGCTTTTAAACTTTGGCCCGCAATCTATAAATACAATAAAATGAGCATTAGTTTCTTCAAAGTATATAAAGTATAATCTCTAAATACCTTATATAATACATATCTTTCGATAATTTATCTGAATTAAGGAAAAATAGTCATCGGTGTTAGACTTTAGATGCAAGAAACAAAATCCCTAACTATTATATGAATCTTTTTTCACAGAGACATTAGCCAATTTGATGTACCATTGTGCAAATAAGCCACATGAGGAACGTAAGAAGAAGATCAAAGGTGACAAAAAGGCAGAAGGAACGTCTGACATGAGACATCCTGCCGTTATGTCTTGCTCCTGCGATAAGATCCTCGCTGAGGATGATATCCGGTGTTCTCGTGACGCTGTGCTGAGTAACTGAGCTCCTTTGAGAATTGATGGAGCCGCTTAGTATGGCCTCAGCAGCCATTCTAATTTGCCTCTCATCATCCGACATCCTTCTGTTATTGATGACTGTAGCGTCAATCTGTGATGCAAAGTAATACATATATATATATATATATATGTTATATATATATATAACTTCACTTCATGTTATATATATATATATAACATAATGTATAACTTCATTAATATATATAATATATATTAATGAAGTTGACGACATGATAACGCCTCGTACTCACGATAAATCGATCTTTAATACATCTATTATTAGTATTACCATTACTATTATTAACAGGATTGCTCCATTGTTTATCCAAACAAAGCAACTGCACTCGTAAAATACATGCAACTTCCAGATATCTTACTGTCTCATATATCTTCCATTTGATCTTCCCAAATTGATCATATAAACATGAAATAATCGTGAGTAACGAGGAATCTCTAAAAGCAAATGTTTTCTCCGGACTGACACGCGACGCGATGATAAAAATTAAATGCGGATGTCTTAACCTAAAAGTTCTCGACACAATCGTCCGATTATATCGAGCAACGAGGCAATTGAGAACTTTTCTCTCTTGACAGGTTAATGAAGAAACGAACTCGTGCGTCGCGTATTTCGACAATTCGCGTATTTGCGATATGCCAAGTCGGCACGTCGATTTTCGTTTGACTTTCTCTTGTGTCATACGTTACCGTTTCGTCTCTCGCAACTCGTTCTCATAAATACATTCGCGCGCACGTGCTGCTTGCCGATGCAATGTTACACTCAACCATCGCGTCGCGCCTTTTCCCGACGACGTTTCTGCAAATGAAGACACAAGCACTGTTTTCGCTGTCACACAACCGGAATATAAACACGAGAACGATGACACGTCGTGTGCATTCGGTGCTACAGACCGTATACTCTGGGCAGCGTGGCGGCGATCACGAATCTTTTCCCTAGCGTGAACTAGTGAAAAGTGAAAGACTGTGAAAAGTGAAGTTAGTGAAAGAAAAATGATAAATTTTTAATGGATTTGTGAAAATCGAAATATTTCATACGACAACTGAGTCGTTCTACGTGGCAGCTGCGTTCTAGATAATTCTTAATGAATATTAAAAAAATCAAAATGCTCAAAATGATAATGTCCGTGTAGCGCGAAGGATATTACGTGACACGCAAAATCCGTTTGATAGAGAAAATGTTTCAAAATATGTACAGGTAATATAAACCTTATGCATTATCATATTTGTCGACAAAAAAAGTTATCCAACTTTTTTGTGAATTAACCTATATACAGGATGTGTCCGGTAATTAGCTGCCAACCCGAAGTGTGAAAGTAGATCGAGTTAAGCTGAAAAGAAGTCATGTACTATTTTACCGAAATCGTAATAGTTATCAAGTTATTAATTAAAACGTCTGGGCCAATGAGGGCACGTGAAGCGGAAGGCCAGACTCCGTGAGCATATATAAAGAAAGGTGGCTTTCAATGTATAAGAAAAATGACTTACTTCTTACCCTTTGTAGTAACTCGTCGGTGGCTCGGCTAAAAGCGGCCCATGGCACCTCTCCTTCTTCTCTCTGATATCATTTTTGACGTTTCAACCACATTGTCCAATGGTTGAAAATTTTCATGGAAACATACACAACTTACACGTAAAGGATATAGATGAGCAAATTGAAAGTTCACGTGAAATATTTCACGTTTTGTGAGAATTTACAAATGTAAATTCTCAATTCTCACGGTTAACATTAAAATCAGTAAATTATACTTACATACATAATATTATTATATTACATTACAACTATAAATTTCGGCTGCATAATATTTATTAATACGTTATACTTTACATTTTGTATACTACAATTATATTTATATGTTAATTATCTATATTACATAAATATTACTTTTCACTTTTTTACAATTCACTTTTCATGTGAAATTACATACAGTTAAAAGTGAAAAATGAAAAAGAAGTTCACGTGAAAGATTCATAATCGCTAAAGTATAATTGGTACATTACTCTTAGATTTGATAAAGATCTGAAAGTAGAAATCAATCAGAGTCGAAAGCTTACTGATCGCTTAATACGATGTGTACTCGACATTTTCATGTTATGCATTATAAAAGGTGTTTGAAAAAAGGGTTCACTTCTGGTGCTTTTATATTTTCTAATGTAATTTGCCCATCTCATTTATTGATGAAGAGTAGCGGATCTGCTGATGAGAGAAGGAAGCGCGGAGAAAGTGCGCAGTAGATGGCGATCGTCGGAAAGGTATTTCCCCTGACGCGGCATGATACGATGCATCCCACCCCAGTGTATCTTTTTAAACTGGAAGACATGGTCGGTGCTCTTACATTTTCTTAAGAGCAGAGTATATTCTTCATTAATAAATGAGATAAACGAGAATTACATCAGAGAATACAAAAGTTCTATCTTATCCCTAATAGCACAGATGTCCTGAGGACGTGCTTAGGACGTCCCCAGGAGAACATGTACTATCAGGGATGTTATCCATTTTGTTTGATGTATACTGTTTTACATTACGCATTCTTTTTATATTCTTTTATATTTAAAACACATAATAGATTTTTTATATTATATTATATATGCTATTATGCTATACATTTTTATCATTTTACATTATATCCATTTCTACAGCAATTGCAATCGATTTGTCATGAATGTTATTTGATTTTAGTTATGTGGACAGAAAGGTTGTCTACAATGTTTGGATTGTGTCTGTAAAAATAAATGTCTCTATGACAAATTATGCATAAATATTAAAAGCTAATCTAAATCTTTAAAATCTTTAAAAAATAAATTTAAATGTAAAAACTAAATCTTTAAAAAATCTAATAAAGCATATACTAATATATCTAAAGCATATATCTAATAAAGCGTTGATAATTTCAGAAAATTTAACAAATTTATATGATACAGACAGGGCAAGAGAACTTTTTCAATTATTATAAACATGACAATGTGTATATAAACGCGATTCTAAAATAAGTCCGTTCACAATGACGCGTACAGTCGAAGGATCGTAATATAATCAATGATTCTAAAATATTTCGGACTTTCCAATCTATGTATATATTTTTGTTCAATATTCAGTAAGTAATACAAAAATGCAGAAAAACTTCTTAATATAGGATTTTACATTAATGTTACGCATATATATCAAATGTCAATCATTTTAAAATGCGAGATCATGATAATATAGCAGTTTTCTTTCTACTTTAAATTAAGTAGATATATTAGGCCTTTACACATTTACTTCTTATATATTCTATGAAAGCCAGGATGAATACAACGTAAATACTAATTTTAACTTATATTTTTTCTCATCTTTTTCTTATGCATACTTGTAACTATCGTTGTCAAAAAACTTTATTTGTTATCCCCTCCCACCTCCTCTCTCTCTCTCTCTCTCTCTCTCTCTCTACTAAACGTATTTAAAAAGAATTTTTTCATAAAACCAGTAAAAATAGAAGGCCGATAAAAGCCGTTTTTATGAATGTGGGATATAGATAAATCTGAATGGGAACACAACAGTGTAGAGTATTATGTATTGTGTGTCGAACCAATTTGTCAGATTTTCAACACATGTGAAATACTATAGTACTCTTCAGCATCGCGAATGACTTACCATCCACTTGATAGCTAATTACTAAAAAAAAATTTGTATTCATCTTTAGTTGCGCGTTTCTCATATTTCAATAGACTTATATTCTTACCGATTATCCACCACGAGAATCTTTCATACCTTTTTCTTTTGGTATATATATATATAAATTCGGATTTCAGCCCATCATATTTTATAATCACTACGGGAATGTTTCTATTCATTCCCATCGCGATGGACTGATTATTCTCCTTATTTCACCTAATCGCAGCTATCGTAAAACACTGCTTGACCTGTTCTAAAAGTCACTGATGAAACTGTTCCTGTTCAGTCGGGGAGCGTAATTGTTTGCAGGGAGTCCTCGGGGAAGATCTCCACTTTCGCGATGGTGCCGTAAACGAAGGGGACTGCTATACCACCGTCGATAACCAGAGATGCATCGTGACACTGTGATCTTACGGTGATTTTCGTGCAGAAACCTCGAGGATGCATTAGCTTTGGCACTGGCACTGCATTAGTCACTATCATGTCTCTTATAGAATAACACAGTTTGAGCTCCTCTGCAACAGAAATCCAGAAACCAAGACATTTGTTGTATATTCTTATGTCCTATATACGTTATGTAGCGGCGTAAACGTGTACCAACCAGCGTCAAATCGTAGGCCACTGTTAAAAGTTGCGCAAATCTTGTCGACTTCATCGTTGCTGAATTGTCGCTCGGTGTCCACGAGCTTCAATATCTCACGCACGGTTTGGTGACTCAGGCTGTGCATGGATCTGTACCAAGACGTCGATCCCGTACCGGTGCTTACGCACAAACCAGAGCCTTTTACTTTGTGATAGTTCTCTTTATTATCCAACTTCATGAGCAAGGAGCTTGTTCTCGCCGACAACGTCTCACCCATGAAAACCTAGTAACGAAAAATAGGCCTAAGATACGTAAGAGAACGGGTCGTACAATTCTGTGTTCAAGATGCGCTTGTGCATCGATGAGCATTATTAAACTCACTTCATTGAGCGCCAACCAGGGTAGATGTCTCTCCTGCGGTAACTCGTTGTGCTCGCAGTTTTCTGGTTTTTGCTCCGCAAAGACCCTTGAATGAATATTAAATAATGAATACATCTCTTCGTTCTATGAATATTCATCGTTAATCGCACTTGCTCACTTCATGGATATTCAATGTCAATCGTATTTATATTCGTTTTATGGATCAATATAATAAATATCAAGGAATAAACATATTCTTTTAGAGTAACTCTCACCAACTCTGGTTAATTTAAACGACAGTTAAAAGTAGCAGACTTACTTGCCAACTTTAATTCTAATGAACATGAATATTTTATGCTGAACTTTAATTTTCTTTTCTGATTGTGATCTGTGTCGTTCCGTTTTATGTTGAAGACCTGAAGTCTTCGCAACAAAGGAAAATAAATAAATGTGCTTTTGATGGATTATCACACTTAGGCACACTTATCGATAAAAGAGATTGAAAATATGAGCTTTTATTATTCATCTTAACGTAAAACTTCTTCTTCTTCTTCTTTGTTGTAATGATCTCTTAATAATCTTTAACGTGAAAGGGAACGAGTGTCAAAATTAAAATACAATTAAAATGTTAAGGTTAGATGTGAAGTACTCATATTCATTAAAATTTAAGTTGACACCCTGCTGCTTTTAACCGTCGGTTAGATTAACAGCAGTTGGTGAAGGTCATCTTTAGAATAAGATTACAAAAGTACACGTATGGTATGTATGTATATATGCATGCAAGGAAAATTTATCAATATTCGTACTTATCGGCACCGACAATACGCCCTTTCTCATGCAGGTGAAAAGGATCCGCCCAGATATCCTTTCCCATCAGAGTAATGCGGATCCTCCGTCGCATGAGTGTGTTGTAATTTCCGGCCTTTAACATCTTGAAGATCTCCGGTACGTTCCTCGTGTACTTCGCAGACAACATGAGATAACCCTCGGACTTTTCGGGATACGAATTGATGCCCATTATCGGTTTCTCGCTGTTAAATATCAAGTTCGAGGCCAGAAGGAACGTTCCGTCGCCGCCGATCGGCACTATCAGGTCCGCCCATGTAAAGAGCGATTGGTCTAGGTTCGTCCTGGAAATGGAAATGGACTTGGTCAATCAAACATGAAGATTCGGAATGTATAAAAGTAAAATGGCTCACTTCATATGATTCGCAACCTCGCGACGGGGACGCGTGCCGATCTTCCACAAGAATTACGGAATACCGAAGAGCGAACGACGAGTTGTACTCTCGTGTAATACCCTGTGGTATGTCTTACCTATTTACTATCTTATATTCCACATTCATCTGCCGCAAGATCTCGGTCACTTGACACTCCACGGCCTTGGTGGCCGTGTGACTCGCGAGCATGGCATTGTAATCGTAGCCACTTTCCAGCAGCCTCAGCTTCAGCTGGTTCTCGTTGAGTTCGGACTTTCGCATTTTCTCGAAGTAGTATCGAGACAGTTTCGTCACAATGAGCACCTTCCTAGGCACAAAGCTCGACTCACTCCTGGTGAAAACACGCGGGCCTTTGCGCCCGGACGCGGAATGTGACTGCAGGAGTTGCAGAGTGTCTGAAAAAGGAAAGAGGATTCACTGATTCGTTATCGGCTCGCGAATTATGTGCCGCGATATACTTTCTTGTCTTATCCGACCTTTGAATATTGAATATCTCGATTTGCTACGCAAAATGATTTCATTGACCGTACACGCTTGCGCTGATCTTATTTTTCAGCCGAAAATTTATACCGCCAAATTAAAAAGTTACACATGTAATAAAAACAATATGTAATATAAAAATATACAATACACAGAATGCCTCCAAACTGTCCTCCAAACGCGTGCGGTACTTTAAAACAGCTACATTACACTTTATAATATTCAATTCAATATTCCAGAACACTTTCTGCAGCACATTACGAAATAAAAAATCTTAGCCCGCGAATGTCGAGGGAGATAATCATTCGTCGTAACTTTCCATAATTCTTATCGTAATATACCTTTGTGACTATCTAGTAAACACGATGTTATGTTAATACGTTATCTTGTTTGCTAGGCAAATTTTTGTGTTTAGTCAGAAGTTTTTTGAAAATTTCACTGCTCGAGTTAAAATTAACCGCAAAATTTCTCCCTCATTTGTCTCTGTTATTTCTCGACTTCTCGAAATCGGGCTCACGAAGAGGTGATTTTTTTTTCACCAACTTATAAACCCTTGAGAAAGGTGTATCGTTGCTTCGAATTTAATTAAGCTTCAGAACACTCTAGCGGAGCCCTTCGTGACATTTGCGGAACTTTGTATATTTTCAAAATGTATCTTCAACGTGTGTTTTCGCGAACGTGTCTCAGATTAAAATGTCGCGTGAGATATTTAAAAGGAATTTGATAAAAACGCCGTTTGAGCAGCCTTGAGCTTGCGCAGTTTCGTATTCTTTAACGATAAGAGATTATTACTTAATCATTCGCGACGAAAATAACCGGGGAGATCGCAACTCAATTTCGCACGTAGCGAACGCAGTAACGCGTGCCGGCGCGATAACGACCGACGCCAAACAAGCGGCCGGTTTTCCACCGATGAAGAAACGCACAATAGATGCTTGATAAGGATTCTAAGATTTGTTGACGCCACGCGATACGACGCATTACCGCGTTTAAAGAACCCGGTTGCGCATCGTACCGGGGGTGGGGAGGGTGACGGGGTAACAATAGGCGAGTCAAGTTTTCACTTATCGACAGCAATATCTTCGTTTGTTACAAATTCCCGGGGAAACGGCAAGTAGGTAAATAGATACATTTTATTTTACCCCCTCCCTTATCTATATCTCCCGTATTGTACATACAGGAGAAAGAGATAGACAGATATTTCCCCATATCTCCAGAAGGGAAATTTCCACCAGTGGAAAATTTACGTCAATCGTCGTCGGCGGGGCGAACGTTGTGAAGCTAAGGGCCGGTTGCTCCAATCTCTCAGTAAGTTAATTCAATAATTAAATCATCACGTCTGTCTCTGTCTAAATTAAAAGAGAAAACAAAGATAAATATATGATTTAACTATCAGTTAACTTACCAACAACGTTGGAACAACCCCGCTCCTAAAAGCGCTCTTTAGCGCGAAAATTTCACAATGGCACCCCCTCCCCCATCCTCGCCGCAACATCGCACCACTTTTTTTTCGCACGTGTCGCGATTCTCGCTCGCGCGCGCGTGTCACGTGATAAGCAACACTCGCGAATTTTTCTTATCCATATATATATATATATATATATATACACATCCCTTACCCGCGTGCATCGTTTCGAGTGTGGGTAGGTTATGTTAAATCGTCGCCGGTGCGAGCCGGTGCATAGGTCAACGTTTTACGCATTTGGCCTGTTCTTTGCATTGCTGAACTGGTGCAATAAGCTAGAGTGAGAGAGAGAGAGAACCTATGCTCGTCGTCTCACTTCAACTTATATCGCACCAGTTCAACAGTGCAGCTACCAAAGCGCAGAGCAATTGTGTCATTCGTCGGCGACGTGCCGCCGCGCTTGTCGAGAGACAGACGTGATTCGCGCTTTCGGAGGGGCTCGGGAGAGCGGCTGAAAACTGAAGAGTCAGAAGACTCAGAACGAGCGGAATCTACTATGCACTACGCTCGTGCAACGTGCGCACGATCATGCATACAGTTTCTATTTATTGCTCGCGACTCTCCATTAATTATTCTCCCCGACTCTCACCGCTTACGTATCCTCGCGTGATGGAGGATACCGGCGGGATGAGGCGGGGCGAGGCGAGAAACGCGCCGAGCGTAGAAATAACGGAAAAACACTGGCAACATCTCGAGAGCGATCGAATTGTCTTGTTGTCGTACTCACTGGTGGTTGACCTGCGAAGATAGCCGAGGGACCGCATCTCATGTTGATCGAAGCGTCCGTGCGTAACGTCGAATTGACGCGGGTAACGAGTCGGAATGAAAGTCTCGAAGCGCCTTGAAGCTGATAAAAATCAACACCACACACACACGCACCAGCTAGCCGAAACTGTCGGCGATCGCGCGCTGCATACTGCTAGACTCGCTACACCGTGCATGTATTGCATCTGCGGCTGTCGAGGAGTGGGAATGCTCGACCGATGAGAATCGATGTTCGATATCTCGCTACGTCAGAGAATCGAGCGCCCGCGCGATATTTTTGAATTCAGTCGAAGCCGAGCGCGCGCCCGCGTGCGTCGCTCTTCGCTCTCGGATCTTGCCGAGTCTGGGATGGATGTTATTCTCGAAAACTTGTGAAAAATTAATTTAATTTAATTGATTTAATTGGCTGAGGATCGTGATATCTAGTGACATTCATCATGAAATATGGTATGCGATATTTTTTTCCAGAATACGGGCCCTGACTGACCGGTTTGGCCCATTGGCGCGATTTCTGCATGCTCGGGCTTTACTCGACAGATCTCGAGGCCAGTCCTGCGTGGATCTGCACTGTTCGACGAAACTGTTTGTACGGCACATGACGTTTTGATTACAATCGAATAAATAATCGCCAGTGACAGAAATCATGAAATCAAAATAGATACGAATTTTCAATCGATATAAGTCAAGTAACGACAAGTCAAGTCAGACATTCCAAGTTTCCCTCAAATGGCATAAATCAACGATTTCGATAATTGAATATGTTCGCTATTGAGAAAATGTTTGAATTTCTCGCCAATTTTGACAAGATGGACGAATCGATGAGGATACGTCGTACAGCAGTTGAAAATAAGAAACATGCATCTAAATGTGTTTTCTCTCTTTCTGTCGCATCAAATGTATTAAATACTGTAAAAACTTTTTTTTACTACATTTTCTCGATTCAAAGATATATTCATTCAGAATTAATTTAATCGAATTATCTCCGAAGAGTTGTCTCAACTCCAAACCGTGAATGTACGTATCTTTAATTTTCAGCTGCTCTACAAAACTTCATCAAGGTAAGGAATGCCTCTAAAAAAAGAAAGAAAAACTGCCCCTGTAAAGTAATCGGCAGATTTTGCTCATCCGTTTGTTATGAACTGCACAAAGAAAAATTAACATACAGATACACGCTTCGCTTACACTTTATTAATTAATTTGCAATACATTAATTAAGTTTGTTTAAATAGCATCGAGGCTACCTAAAGTATGCCTTCGTATATACTATAGACAAACAATCATCTAACTTAAATCTCTCTCTCTCTCTCTCTCTCTCTCTCTTTCGCTCGTTCTCTCGATCTCACTCGCATTCACACGCACGCATGCTTGTTTTCCTTTTCCTCTTTCTTTCTCTATCTTTCGCTTTCTCTCGTTCTCTTTTGCTCTCGCTCGCTCTCTCTCCTTCCATGCACTTCCTTTGTTTCTCTTTGTCCGTTCCATTAGTCAATATCAGTTTATTATTACTATTTTACCATTGTCTCTCTCATTTTATCTCATTATATACTATATATATATATGTATATATATATATATATACTATATATATATATATACCGTAAGATCGACGTTTAAAAACTAAAATTCGTATAAAAAGCGTCGTTATTCATACTAACAATGTAACTGTACTATTTAAATAATAATTGAATTTTAAAAAATTACTTGTTTCTTGTTGTAGTCGGTTTGTTGTTTGAATGTATGAGATGTCTAACGCATCGGCTACTGTATGACGGTGCGAGACGTGCACGAACGAAACGGCATACGGCGCGTCTCTTCGAGAACAATCGGTAAGATCGACAAAATGCCCCACAATCTGCGCTCTCGCTCTCCCTCCTCCCCTCTATTATACAAACGAGAAAGAGACGTAGGAAGAAAAAGGAGAACAGATTCGCGACTAAATTGTCGCGACGTTCGTGAAATTAAACATCTGAATGATAGTTAAATCGCGTCATAGCTAGATAGCTCCAAAATGATCATCGAGACGCGAATCTCGCGCGATCTGGACAAAAAAGGACTATAGAGATTTCATATTGTATGTACGTGGATCGTCGTTTTTGATCTAGATTATATAGTTTTGTAGTTTTTTTAAATCATAAGGTAACGATACTTTATTTTAGACACTAGCTTTGACAGGTGGAAATAACAAATTCCTTGCCGGCGCGTTTGATTAAAAAAAAAAGAAAAAAAAATATATATAATAAAACAGAATAAAAAAGACCTTTCCTAGAAACCTCATTCGTGAATTCTCAGCGCAAGTCTCGTCAGCAATCTTACCGGCTGTTCGCTCGTTCCCTTAAAAATTTATCTCGCGACGATGCGGAAATACAGTCGCTATTGGTATGTATAGCGTGTGTGTGTGTGTGTGTGTATGTATGTGTCGTGTGTATACACGTGTGTATGTTTCAGTCGCACCCTGCACAGGATAATTATTTTTCGCTTCGTAGTCGCTCCCCTCCCCCTGCTTGCCACCCTTCTCTTCTACTCGCTGGCGTTTATACTCTAGCTAATACTTTTACACACTACGAATGTTTTTTCTTTTTTCTTTTTCCTCTTATATCTTTAAACCGTATAATCATTTAGCATCACGTCACACTATACGGCTCAACGGCCCTCTCATTTTCTCTTTTTCTCATTCTCACTCTCGCTCCTCTTCGATTCTCCCTTTCTCTCCTTCTCTCTCTCTCTCTCTCTCTCTCACGTTATTACCAACTATACGCTATTACGAGCAATAATGTACATCAATTACATACAAAACAAGATGCAGCGTGAACGCTCTCGTTACATCGTTACCGTTGTCGTCTCGCACAATGATCGCAGAGCGCTCTTTACGAAGATACCGCGCGACTTGAATTACAATCGGAGAAACTCGCTACTAGTCCGTCGTCTAATCTCTCTCTTCGCAGAGCGCACAATTTGCTATTTCTTCGCTCTTTCATCCTGACAGCAATGTGCAGTAGCAGTAGCAACGACGACAACACGTTTACGACGAAAGAAGAAAAGAAGAGAAACAGACTGGCTCGTAGACAATTGAACCGTCGTCATTCGTACAATCATTTTTATCATCATCATTGTTGTCGTCGTCGTTCTTGGAAAGATTCCCTCTTATTCGCGGGGAATCCGGCGCAAAATATTCCGAGTCTCTCTCTCACTCTTCCCCCACCCTTTCTCTCTCTCTCTCTCTCTCTCGTCCAAATCGGCGCTGTTAAAATCGCGAAAGACATGCCTTGCACAATCGTAACAATCACAGCACGCACCGCAACGCGATATAGAAAAAAAAACATACACATACAGCGCAGCGCTTTCCCCATCGAATGTGAACCGAAACCAACGCCAACATCCATTATCTCTCTTTCTGACGTTATTCTTCGGGGTGATTCGTTTCCTTTCGAAAGGCGTAGTACAATGCGATGTCGTTTCTCTTTCGTTCTCTCTTTTTTTCTCTCACCATGTTTTGTGTCCGGATGATGATAATGATTATTTTCGTTTCTGTTCTCTCTCTCTCTCTCTCTCTCACACACACACACTCTCACGCTACAATCGCTGATCCTCGGACGCGTTAACTAGTGACAATTAGACGATAGTTTTCTCCAACGTTTATATCATCACTGAACGTTTAATTTCGCGTATGTTGCGTGTGTGTGCGTGTCTGTGTCTCTGTGTGTTGTGTGTGGATGTCAACGCGGAACCTTCGCGACACTCGACAAACAAAAAAACAGGAGGCCGGAGGACGCGTACACTCGTCGTTCTCTTTCCCTTCTTTCTTCGCGGATTACGAACGATACTTTCCGCGCGTATGCCGAATTAAATAGTAATATCTTGTATATGCGCATACGATCTAAGCGCGTTACGACTCTTTCGCGTCTGAACGGCAGTGGATGATTCTGGATTTGTGTACGCACGACATATATATATATATATCCCTTTCGCTCGCATTTTTTCTTGTTTCTTCTCCCTTCCCCGGATCGCGAAATTTGAAAATTGAACCGATAAAGAATTACGAAACGATGCTCGCATTTGCTTATTCTTTCCTTCGGTCTTTCTCTCTCGTCCCTTTTTTCGCAAACGATGAAGAGCTTAATGTAATGATAACACGCGTGATTATCATCGAGTATGTCAACACAAGTCATGTAATTTTCCTTATCTCCGAAAAAGCGGTCTCTTCGCTGATCTACATGCCTAATTATATTAATTTATTAGATCCGAGAATTATATCAATCAACAGTCACGGTAAGGACGCGCGTCCTTGTCCCGAAATACTGATGCGGAAATACTCTCTCTTCCTTCTCGTCGCGTTTCTCGAACTTTCGTGTGCTTCATGCGTCTCTCCCTCTCGCGTCACTTTCCCTTGTTTACACTCGCGAGTCAACACAACAGCAAAGGTGAAAGAATATCGAAAGAATACCGAAGTGGCCCTGCGAGAAACGGCGTTGAGATTTCGTCCACTTTTCTCTCTTTCTCCCCCCCCCCCCTCTCTCTCTGCCTCTACTCTATTCTCTACACGGCGAATAATACCCTTATCGTGCTCATCCATGGGCGAGGATGTGTACGTGTGTACGTATGTGTATGTGTGTATATTGTGTCAATATATGTATATATATATATCTGTATACATATATACTATATACTCATATATATTTATATATTTATAATTTCTCTCTTTTTGTTCTCTCTCTCTCTCTCTCTCTCTCTCTCTCTCTCTCTCTCTCTCTCTCTCTCTCTCTCTCTCACCCTCCCTACCTCCCTCTCTCTCTCTCTCTCTCCCTCCCTCTCTCTCTCTCTCTCCCTCCCTCTCTCTCTCTCTCTCCCTCTCTCTCTCTCTCTCTCTCTCTCTCTCTCTCTTTCACTTATTACTTTGCAAAATATCTCTTTCATCAACGCATCGGTAATATTAAGCCCGTATAATACAATCGCAAATACACTCTTACTCGCTTTTAGGCAATCGTTTGCTCGTATTCACTCGGTAAGTACAATGACCATTCTCTCGCGTTGCTTTCCGTCGTATCCCGAGTTATCGCGCAGGAGGGAGGAGGCGAGGAGCGGGAGCTACGGTTACGGTTACGGGATAAGGACATCTCGCCGGATCGGGAGGACGAGGCGACCATCGCCAGTGAAGTCTCGTCATACCGAAGCCGAGCCGAGTACGCGGACACGACGGCGGACCGGGAGAGAGAATCTCGGTTCTCAGTGTGATTATTTTATACAACGACAAGACAAGTTCGACAAGATAGCGCCGTCGGTGGTTAAACACGGGGGAGGAATCAAGTACGCGCGGCCCTCGAGCGCGCTGGGAACGGCCCGCGCAACCTCGCGGTATTCACGGCGATTATAACGAACGATACGAACAACACACGGGCGAGGGGTAGCGCCGCATTCAGCGATTATTATTATTATTATTATTATTAATATTATCATTATTACAACGAACGGAAAATGTTCGGTCGGCCGCTAGAACGAGACCGACTAATGCTCGGAAGTGGATAGAAGGAAATCGTGTCCCTGCCTCTCTCTCTCTCTCTCTCTCTCTCTCTCTCCCCCATCCTTCTTTTCTCACTCTCTCTTTCTTTCTTACTTTTTCTCTCGTTCGCTCTCTCTTTCTCTCTCTCTCTCTCTCTCTCTCTCTCTCTCTCGATCGAAGACGTTGCAGCATGTTGATCGTTAACGCGCGCAGTGCGTGTTGTGTCGTGTGTGTATGTGTGTATGTAGTATATCCTAGTAGTAGAAATGGGCGAAGCTGTTGCAGGTGTTGTTGCGCGAACGTACCGAGCCTCAGCTATGCGTTTGCGGATGCGGGGGCGGCGCGCCGGTGATCTCGGTCCAGCGCATTTCGAAGAAACTGCGCATCCCGTGGCCGGCCTTGCCCACGGGACTGTCGTCCTCGTTGAATACCTCGCAGTTGATGAACATCTGCCTGACATCGGCGCAAAACTCATCGCGAGACTTGTACCTGCATCGAGAAGCACTCGTTGTGAAAAAATTTGGGCCTTCCAGTGGCGCGAGAGAGACCAAGACGATATCGGCGCGCGATTCGCGCGCGCGGTTTATTAGGATCGATTTCCTATCACTTTTCTTTTTTGTTTTCCCCCGCGCGTTTTCTCGGTCTGTATGCGAGTGTGTGTGTATGTGTGTGTGTGTGTGTAGGTGGTGTATGTACATGTGGTTCAAAGTGGTGGTGTCTCTACTGGGGAGGTCTAGGCCTTTCTCAAAGACCGGGAAGGTGGTATATCTCTCGTGGGGGGAGGGCACCAAGGCGGGTCGTTATTCAAAGGTTTATCTTTTTTTTGTGGGTTTTCGTTTTCGCTTAACTAACCCTGTAGTAGTAGTAGTAGTAGTAGTAGTAGTAGTAGTAGTAGTGGTAGTAGTAGTAGTAGTAGTAGTAGTAGTAGTAGTAGGCGGCGCGTGTTGTTGGTTGGCAACTTACGCGGAGTCCTGCAACTTCTTCTTAATCGTACTGAGATCCATGGGGGTTTTTATGATTTTCTTGTAGGTCGGGAACTGTTTGGTGTTCACTGGCAGGAGGAACGGCCAGGCCTCATCCTGCTGCTCCAACTGTTCGAGGAGTACCTTACATGGTGCCAGCTCTCGTTGTTGCTTCTTCGTGAGCGTCCTATTGTTACCCTCCTTCCGTGGCGAGGCGGTAGGAGTCGCCGGTTCCGACGAACTGACGTCCTCTACGTGTGTGTTCGATGCCGTTGATGGCGTTGGACTGCGGCGCAAAACAACAGAGAAATTATTTGCACGATTAGCTTCCGTTCTGCAGGAGGTTTCCGGTTTCATATAAGCCTCTGTGGACGAATGCGCAAGGACGAATGCATAAGATTCAATCGTGCGAGATCCGGCTGAGACGGGTACGTTGCTCTCGATGGAATATTTGCGTTTTCTCTCCGGCTCGCTGTCTCTCGTGCGCTCGTTTTATTACTTTTTCCGCTTTTTTCCGCCCTCTCTCGCTCTCTCGGTACATTTTCCGACTCCGTCATCTACGGCCTGAAGACGGCACCTACCGTTACGACGATTTTTTTTTTTTTTTCTGAGAAAATACCCATCTCACAGTTCGACGTTCGCAAGTAATGTACAACACACTAGGCAACAACGACGTGACGAGAATGTTTACAGGGTGGCCCGACGCAGAAGACAGTCCCGGCGAAACTCGCGCTTTCACAGCGAGCTTACGGACGTTCATTCAGCTCGAAAGTCGCCTGACAAGCTATCGTGCCGTTCGTAACGACGCACTTTGTCCTCGAGGAGGAAAGAAAAAGAACGTGTGAAATCGGATCTGACTTCTTGCGGAACACCCTGTATGCGTAATGAAAAGTTTCCTCGGGACAACAAAGGCTCTCGGTGATTTTGCGGCACGGGCCGGAGATTCATAAGTTTCGGTAATCGCATGAGTGCGGTGTGTATATACACATGCGTGTATATACATATATATATATATATATATATAAATAATATATATATGTATTGTACGCAGGTAGCTTGCTGATCGTTTATTCGAATTGTTTTGTTCGATCGGGAGTAATAAATACTCGTTCGCTATTTGCAGTTCGTTGAATCTTATCGAATCATGGTTTTTCGTGGCTTATGCTTTTTTTTTTTGCTTTTTGTTGTTTCTAATATACTTTCGCACAAAACGTCGTGAAGCCAGCGAGTTGACAATGTTTGTTTGTTTTTAACGTAATCACCTAGCTGGTGGATGGTCAGAACTTTCACTTTCTCTGGTGCCTCCCCCTTTGGTATGACTCCTTCGACTACTATTTCTCTTCTTTGGTTGCTTACTGTGGCAATTAGAGCAATACCATTTTCCTCGCGGCATCTGAAAACCAAACGCAACGTGTGCAACGAACTATACAGTGTGGTGTGTGAATGTGTACGTGTATTTCCTTCTTCTCGAGCTTTATGGCATTGGGGACGATGATGTTGCTCGACGGCTACTCACTTTTGGCATCACGGGATTGTGGCAGTCGGTGTGATAAGCCCGAGGGCAGAGTTCACACAGGACCAAGTTTTTACCCACTCTCTTGCCGCACACCAAACAATTGCGTTCGCCTGTCGCTTTGTTCATACACTCGTGACAATACCTGGAAGAGCAACGACAGTCTGAGGCTATCCTTGACGAAGCGAAGCTTCACGGGCAGAGGGCAGTCAGAGACGGGATATCAGACAGTCAGCCGTAACTCACCAGTCACCATCAGGAATGTTTTCCATTTTTGGACGGAAACAGTAAGTATGGTAGCCACGGTCGCAGCCATCACAGAGCAGCAGCTTATCTTCGTTGTCCCCACTATGACAAAACTGGCAATTCTGCAACCGAAAATAAACTCCTCATTTAAAAAGGACGAGAGAACACTAGTCCCTCGTGTGGCTAAGGTAGCATGAAGATTTCAGCACTATTTGTTAGTTAAGCATCTTTTGAACAAAAACGATAACGAAGATCTTTCTCTCTCTCTCTCTCTCTCTCTATATATATATATATATATGTATATATATAATGAGTAACTTGTACATATCTGATTGATAAAATGCAGGAAGTATGATTGAGGATATCGTCATAAAAGTCCGACTGAACAAAATTTACATAGACATAGCAACATATTCGGATCGATGAGAGTGTAAAGTACCCTTGAATTCTGTCTGATATCGCAAAATATACAGAATATAATGAAGTAACGATGAATATATATATTCAATAAAAATCGTGCGGTAACACACGGACGTAAGCAAAACAATCATAATAATTATAAAATAAACAGCGATGGGTTCTCATTTTCGGGAGTTTGCTAGATTGTGTGTGAGTAGGGGGAATCACAGTTGTCAGGCGAACGTAAAAGAACGGGGGTAAAGAGAACTGAAAAAGAAAAGAGGACAAAAAAAATGCGCTAAAATGATAAAATCAATAAATAGTAAGCGGCAGTTTTGCATGCAACCGTTACGTTAGACTCTGACCACCATTGAACGTACATTCTTACGCTTGCTTGCTTGCGATCATTACTATGCTGATTCGTTTATCTCGACAAATTCAGCAATTCACGAGCGAGCGGGATGCGAGACTCGCAATTTCAAAATTTAAAAAATATACACATCCACATTGTGAACTGATGCTGCAACACTGATTCGAGATTTGACAAGACACGACGCGTGAAGAAGAAAAACACGATGTCGCGCGAACAGAGCGAAATTCAACGGATGTATGCAAAAGTCTCATTGCCACAATCTTCGCACTCGTGTGTAAATACATGTATATGTACATATATATATATTTGTATTTATTTATATTTATATATATATATATGTAATATATATAGATATGCAAAATCGGAACTTTATGTGAGACTAAAAGCGGATGTATTGCAAGAACACTGTCGCGTGGAAGAGGTATATCGCTCTTAGAGGCACGGTCGTCGGCTCGAGCGGACCTCCTCCTCCTCCCCACTTCTCTCGATATCCATTCGAAGCGACATATGCTCTCTGTGAGCCGAGAAACGGAATCGAGAACGGAAAGGGACAAAGGCGTTTTAGGAGGAGCGGGTGGCAAAGGACGAGATTTCGGTTAGTAAGTTAGTGCGAATACCCACAGAGGCCTGAGAAGTAGTCAATAGCTGATTGTACTGATTGGTAGCTTTGAGTGAGACGCAGCGGTTTCGTAGCTTGACGCAGACCGAGTTTCTAGCTGTTGTTAGACTCACAGCCTTCATGATGCTCTTGTCCCAAGCGATGCTGGCCTCGAGCATGTAAAGCGCCATGGCGAGCTGTGCCGATGTGTGAGCACGCGCGGTCGCCTCCCGCCAGTTGTTGAGACCACGCGGCGTCGTTTCCTCTGGCGGTACTGGCGCCTGGCTATTCTGTTCGGAGTTATTCGAGTTTGCGTTAGCGGCCGCCGCCGCCGCCTGTTCTGCCTTGAGGGCTGCCAGGTTCGGATCTCCCGTGCTGTGCGTAATTGTGGACGAGAAGGCAATTAGAATTGATTCGCGTGATTTATTTCCCGTGTTTTGTTTGAAAATCGCGCGCGCGCGAAAGAATCAAACATATACATGTCAATCGACCGTTTCGCTAAAACGCTCCAATAATCTTACCAAACGCCCAAAGGTGGCTTCAAGTATCTCCTCTCTATAGCTGCCTCCAACGAAAGTAGCCTTTGCCGCGCTTGCTCGACCGCGCTAATCTTCTCCATTTCGTTCAACTTTTCAATCTCGTCGGCCTCCTCGGTCCCGGCCCGCGGCGGCAGCTTCCAGCCCTTCACCTGCATGCTAGCGTTGGCCACTTTGTCCTCGAGGGCCTCCACTTGCTCCAAGAGCTGAGCGTCCACACGTAGCGCGACCTGCTCGCTCCAGTCGCTCGGATTGTCGGGCTTCGGGATCGGCGGCATGTTGTTGGGGTCGTCCGGCTCCGCTTGCAGTTCCGTGGCGATCACGTTGCCGGGGTCGACGTTGATGCGGCCGGTCACGGCTAGGAAGGACTCCATCGTCGCCCATGTTGTGCGCTTCAGTTCCTTCTCGCGGACACCGCGAGAATGTAAATGCTCGAGTAGTTCTTGGAACGTGTCGATGTCCGTTATCCTCCACCAGCCGTGCCTCAGATCTGCAAATAAGATGCATGTATGCAATCAGAAACTTGTATGCCTAATCTATTCGCGTGCGAATTTTGTTTTTTATGTGCGCAAATTGCCTTACCTTTCGGTACCGGCTTGGCTTCGCCAGGAGGCGGCAAACCGTGCACCTTCAAGTACTCCAATTGCGTAGCCTCGTCCTGCGTGAGGATCAGAGGCGCCGGACTGTCGCACCTGTCGTAACTCGGACTAGCTGGCGGCGGGAACACGGGGATTCGCAGCTCGGTCGGCTCGGCGATGCCGAAAATCTGCTTGGTGCTGGGTCCCGGGGTGTCGCAAGTCTCGCGCGGCAGGATGGAGAACCAGTTGGGCTCGGTGCTGTTGTCTGAAATGATGGACATGACTAATGTTAATTTGACAATATTCGACTGTCCGTCCTGTCGGCGAGGACTCCACGGAAACTCACTAGAGATGAAGGTGCCGTTGAGCTCTTTGCCGTTATGTAAGTTGTTCACGTGATTGAACTTGTCGCCGTTCGGTATGGTTTCGACAATCTTGTCTTCCATTATTTTCACCACCACGGGCTTCGTCATCATCGTCTCCTCGTCCGTCTCCTCATTCTCCTTCTTCACCTCCTCGATCTTCATCTCGACGTCCATGTTGACCACCTCGGTCTCTTGCTTGATCTCCTCCGAAGTGACGTTCGTCTTCGCGTCCGCCATCATGCTGTCCATGTCGTGTCTCTTCTCACTCACCTCCTTCGTGCTCTCCGAATTATCGATGCCGTAATTCTGCACAGGCTCCTTCTTACAGTTGATCTCCTCCACCTCGGGCTTCTCCTTGTCGCTGTAACATTTCATGTCCTCGTTCTGCTCGCTCGAGTTGTGCTTCTTCTCCTCCTTCACCTCGGAGTTCGATGCCTCGGTCTCGTAATTCTCAATGCTCGTTTTGGTGTCCTCCTGCTTCACGCTCTCCGGCTTCTCCTCCACCGGCATGTTTTTGTACTTCTCGTCCAGCTCGGTCTGGAGCTCGAGCACTTCCGGCTCAGCGCTCTCCATGGCCTCCACGAAGATGCCGCCGGCGCATGCTAGCTCCCAATACCTCCTCCAGTACCTGTCCTGGCCAAAGATATGCGCCCGCAGCTGCTTCGAGGAGCTGTTCAGCTTCTGTAGCTGCTCCTCCGACTGCTTCAACAGTTTGTCCAACTTTTTGCCCAGTTCCTCGCCCGACAGGTTCTTGTCTTCCTCCTGTGTGTATGTGTGTGTGTGTGTGTGTGTGTGTGACGACAATATTAGATACATTTTTTCGAGCGGTATCAAAATCTGAATATTCAACTACGTACCTCTTCTGGTTGAGTGCCTTCGCTCTCGTTCTCAGACATGTCCTCCACTTCGTCTTCATGGTGAATTTCGTCTGGCGTAGGTGTCGTGCCTACCGCGGTGGACGTGGTATTGCCTTCCTCGTCGCCTTCCTTCTTCTCGATGGTGATTGTGTCGCCGATCTTGTTCACGACAACGCCTACGGCCTCCATTCGCACTTTCCGGCTGTGCAACTGTCTCAGCCTGTGTGAACATAAAATTCGATCCGTAATCGTGACGTGTCTATCTGATACTTCCGTGTACTCTCATGTCTCGTGTGTGAATGATCGTTACTCCACACGCGTTTTGAACTCGTACTCTTCAATATGAAGCTGAAAAAGCCGGCTGTCTTTCAATCATTCGTAATTCAATAATCTCAACAACGTCAATTCGAATCGATCCTGCCTCCCGCAAGCGACCGTTTTTACCAATCATGCAACTTACTTTCTAATCTTCGTATCCAACACGAATCTCTCCTTCCGCAGTTGAGCCACCGTCTCGAGGCTACCCTCTATCTGCCTGATCACAGCCTTGTTTTGCAGCAGCTCGTTGCACAGGAAAGCGAGCATCTGCGCCTTGTGTGTCGAGTTCAGCGCCAAGAAGGGCTTGTCGCGCAATCTCTCCGACATCTTCCACGTTTCGTTGTTATGCAAATGCTCGTAGAACTGCGCGTTCTTCCCAGAGCACGTCGAGGCGTAGTCGCCACCATTCTGATGATGGTCGGCGAACTTCTTGTCGCGCTCGCGCTCCAGGCACACCCCCGTGAGCGCCTTCACCTCTCCGGTCGCGTTCGCATACAGATAGATCCGCAGGACCTCGCTGATATTGGCGTGGGTGATGTCAGCCTGGCGCAGACTCTGGCCCAGACCTGTGGTGTGTCTGGCAGGCTGCGGGATCCCCGGGTCTTCGATAGCGCACACCAACAGATGCGTCATCACCGACAGCATTTCCTCCTCGGCCTCCTCGTCGTTGAGTAGAGCGAGCTGGAGGCTCTTCAGGCTCGGCAGCGATTCCATATCTGGAACGAAGCAATCGCGTCGGTCAGCGCGAGGTGAATGAAGCAGGTGACGAGCTTACTGGAACGAGTCGGCTAAATGACAGAGTGCTGGGGTCCTCACCGAATCCCAAAGTCTCCCCAAAATTGTGCAGAAACTCGAACACCATGACGATGTCCGCGAACGCTTGCCCAGAGAGCTTAAGACCGGGTATTCTCTTGACTTCTGGCAGTGGTCGGTGATCTGAAAGGCAGACGCGTACGCATCAGAAGGTGTACCACAAACAGGACTCCTACGGAGCCTCTCGGCTCCACCACTATCGCGCGACGCGCGGCTGATAATTGCTGATACGCGTATATTCTCCTTCTCTCTCCCTGTGTGCGCGCGCGCGCGCACGCACGCAGCGGTATCGATCATCGTTGCCTTTTGTTCGCCTACCTGTCAGCTCCATATCCTCCACGGGCTTGCGGATTTGTTCGATCAGCTCCATCTCGACCCTCCTCTGTTCCGCCCGCTTCTCCTTCGTCGCTATTCTCTCGGCGCGCGCCTCCAGGCGCTTCTTCTCCTTCTCCTCCATCTTCCGCCGGTTCTCCAGCGCCCGCACGAGAGTCATGTGCTGTCTCCTCCGCTCTCGCTCCTGCGTCATTCATCATTGCGTCGTTATACACGTCTCGTGAGCCTAACGTTCAAACGGAACTAAATGGTTCATGCAGATAATGCCGAGTCAAGACAAGATCTCGCTCGCTCGCTCGCGCGCGCGCGGCAGGCCGGGTTTGTATCGCGTGGCCTCTCTCCGTTTGTGTCGCCGGAAAAGCGCGCTACGTGTCACATGGAAAATCATAGGAAACTGTCGCTTCGGCGTATCGCGAGACTCGCAACAGGCGTCTCCGTCTTGTGTGGATTATCTTCAGGGAGACGACACGAAACTACTCGCGAATGGACCACCACGCGCGTCGTCCCGAGGAATCAGAATCTCGCGAAAATTTTCGGAACAATTTTCCCGGAAAGTCGCGACACCGACTCGTGTCGAGCGGCGAGAGGGCAATATTGTTGTCTACACCTGAGATAAAGTTTGCTTCTTCAGAAAATTCCGGAGACCCTGAAGATTCTATCGATCTCGCCATGCACGCGACTGCTCACGGAACAATCGACACGCGCGAGACGTCGACGGAAATGACTCGATTTCTCAGGATGCTGATTTTTTTTTTTCAAACAGACCGATTTAAAGATCGATTCGAATTACGAAAGAAAAAAATCGGTTTGTAAATCAATTTAAAATCGGCGGCATCCCTACTGAGGACGCGAGCGTCGAGCGACGGTTCTCCCGCGATCCTCCTCTGTCTGCGTCTGCGGCACACGCACGGCGCCAAGTTCTACGATCGTCCCAAATACTCTTCCACGCACTACGCATTACGAGCAGTAACTGTCAAACGGATGCACTGCTACAGCGTGAGGAGAGCAATCTGCGGCGTGCCGCCGCGAGAATCGCGCTCGGCTTCACGCAAAAGAGCGGAGTGAGTGAGTGAGTGAGTGAGTGAGTGAGTGAGTGAAAAACCGTGCAATCTCTAGCAAAACTAGAACTAATTACTAGTCACTAATCGCGCGAATTAGCCGGTCGCTACCTTCGATACGGATCGGCGTGTTCTCGAAGAAGGAAGACGAGCGGGAGAGCGAAGCTTCTCGCTCCTCGATCGGCCCGCTGATGATAACAATCTCAAGCGAGAGTACGTCTTTGCGGAGTGCAAGCGAATGCGAATCGTGAATCGTGTAATTATTCACGTGGAAGCTGAAGCGGATGTTGGATCAGATGAAGCTGCGACTTGTTGCGTTGCGCGCAGACGGGAGTAAACGCAGTGGCAATTTGCGCGTATCGATGCGCGTTTTCGGACGAACCGCGACACGCGCTCGTTCGCGATTTCGCGCACCTTCTCGAGCTGCACTCGATGGTAACACGAGTCGAAGCTCCTGGTCCTTCGTCGCGGGGCCCTCTTGATCGGTGACGTCAGCAGCGTGGAGACACACGGTCGACGTTTCCCACGAGAACACACGTTTCGATCGAAAGACGAATTTTGTTCTTTATCGTGTTATCTCGAAAGTGGAAGTTACTCGGAATAAGGCCTTTTTCGAATTTAGATATTTCTTTTTACGCTTTTCTCGATAGAAATCTTTATTGTGGCTTTAATAACGATAATTAATCAGGGAGCCTGACAGATGTGCCATCTACATATTTTTTAATTCAACCTAATCTATTTAATTAAGACACATCTATATGTATTTGCCTTATGTTAATCTTCTTCGGGACTACATGATGTACAAAATCCGACCGAGCAATCTCCCTGCGGTGTACATCGAGTACAACGCTAATGCCGACGGTGTTCAAACTTTACCTGATAACCTCGTAACTCAGAAAATTCTCAAAGAAATTTAACTTATCTGTAATGTTTTGAAAAGCTCTCGACTTCAGCTACAAGAATCTACAATAAAAGAAATAGGAGTATGTATTTAAAAATTTCAATATGACCTTCATGAACTTGGAATTGTCAATCAGGGTCAACGGACTTTATCACTTTGTATTCCCCTTTACCGAACAACCTTTACTCGAAACTTTTTTTTTCTAAAACGTGACGTTTTTGGTATATTTGAGCGTATTTTTCTTTTCATGGGACATCCCGTATATTCTATCTTGCACAGGGCTCTTCTCACTAATCTCTTTCAGCTTTGTTTCCCGGTATAAACAGAAATAAAATCGGCCCTTTCAAAAGCCGTTGTATAATATTTTTAACCTTGGCAAGCCACGTTGGAAAAAATAGCTAAAAAAGTATGTGGGTGTCATATCTTTCAGACACAACGAAAATTTTTACCAAGAAAACTGCAGAAAGTATCGAAGCTCGAAAGAGGCCTTAATTAATAGGCCGAATAAAATTATCTTGAAAAAATTCTGCAGACCTGCTCTCTCGATCGAGTGCGTCCACATTGCTATCACGTTTTTCTTGTTTCCAAGTACTCTTCCAGAATTCCCAACGTGCGTCTCCTCGTTTCCTGCGTCACCAATCCGGACGATAGAGAGCGTTCATTTCACGCGCTCGAGCAACACCGTGTGCTCTCGCGCGTACATGACCGAAACGTTGACTCAAAATTTGTTGAATCGCATTTGTTGTAATCCACACCGTTCCTCTTTCCCGCTGTTCTTTCAGCACAATCTTCTCTACGTATAATTCCGAGTGAGGGAAACTGCATCCGTAGGTTTGGCGTTACCATCACGGTTAGTCAAAGTGATCGCGGCGAGGAAACAGGAGCCTTTTGCCAGGGGTGAGGGGTGCGAAACGCAAAGCCAAAGGGAGATGCTCGCAGCAGAGAACGCGCACTCGGTCGCGACGAAACGCTGGACCGCCGCCGATGTGCAGGTGTGATCATGCGAGTTAGTATAATAATGGTTGCTTGCGAGTCGATTCGTTCGTTACAATGTCGCTCGTGTTAGATGCTAAATTGGGTATGTGACATACCAGCTCGACGGTGTAGAGCATCTCGCGCTGCTTGGTGAGCTCCTGCATGTACATCTGCGGCACAAAACACATCCACAGTCTCCACTAGTGCTCTCAAAAGCCGCCAGTCTCGCAGTCTTTCTCGCTCCCTCTTACGCGCGCTAGGACGTTCTCTACGAATCGCGGCTATCCGCCTGCCTGCCATCGAGTTAAAATCGCGTCGCGAACCCGAGAGGCGACCCGTGGCATCCCTCGTCCTACTCGCGAAAGGATTCCCCTCCCGTTGGGTTTGCGCCGGGCGAAGTGTTACACGAGATTGGGCTGACACGAGATTCTCGCCGATTTCGAGGTGAAGCAGGCGCGTCAAAGAGTGATGAGGCTGTCGGGTGTCTCTTCTTTTCGCCAACGAGCCGCTCGTCAACGAACGTGTACGAATTTAGATTTTATGAGACACAGTGCGTGAAAAGAATATTTATCTTACAACAAGTGACTCTCTCAAGTCGGGGCTGTTTATTACTTGTTGCATACTGACGCGCAGTAAGTTTTAGGCTCGATCCACACTATCGGTTCGTTCACGGTCCGATCGTATTCCTAAAAATGTTCACACTTCGAATCACTCATCGATCCGCTCTCGCGGTACTATCCCAGACGATCAAGTGTAGTTTCTGCCTAAACATTAATTTCCCTTGAACATCGACGTCAGCTCTTATTTGCTCTCTTTTGTAAGGAACATTAATATTTTATCATATTTTCCTATATATGTTCATAATTAATTTCTAATTATAACACGATATACATGTATACGTACCTTTCTCAAATGACCACAATTTTTCTTTATTTATATTTTCTTATTATTATTATTATTATTATTATTATTTGATACTGCTTGAGAGTCACGAGACTGCGAGAACTGCGAGTCTGCGAAAACTGACGGTGGATTGATCGAAAGTCTGTTTATATCATCGGTACGACTTCGGACAACTTCGATCACGCTCCGGCAAAATATTCATTCGAAAGATCGTTACTGGAGCGAGATCGGACCGAAACTTGAGCGTTACCGATAATATGAATACGTGCGTTATAAACAGTGGACAAATATTTGATCGGAGCGTGAGCGGATCGAGAGCCTTAACTGCTCCATCAATTTTGCTTCAAAATATTTAGAGATTTGAGAATCTTATAGATTACGGCGATTGTCGATGGCGACGATGGCAGATGAGACAGCCTGCGTATGACATGTGCGATGAAATTACACTCCCTCCGAAAATGATGTATTAATTCGCATCAACAAGTACACGTTTTACCGTGCCGATGAAATATTGGGTAATATGAAAAAAATAATGGAATATTTCGCACGCTCTCTTTGTAGAGCTGTTGCTTTCACCGTGAGACACATCGTCGGGTCCTTCTTACGGCTCGAACGACCGACTACCGAACGTCGTAGCCCGATCGCGCGATATGATCAACAAATCTAATAAAAGGATTCCGCGTCTCGCGCACTCGTCGTGATACTTGATATCTACGTTCTACGCACACTTCAAGTCAAACAGAGCCTCCTTCCCCTCATTCCTCTTCTACATAAGAGAGAGACAGAGAATCGATTCGACACCGTTAAGATAAACGGAAAAACAACGAACGCGAGAGGGCGATGTGAAAGGAAAAAACAATTTGAGAAAAAAAGGAAAAGAGAGAGAGAGAGAGAGAGGGGGGAAAACAGCACTTTTAAAGTCTACGAGAGAGAGAGAGAGAGAGAGAGAGAGAGAGAGAGAGAGAGAGAGAGACACACTCTCGCACACGCACGCGCACAGATACACGCACTAAACTACCAACGACGACACGTTCGATTCGAGAAAGAGAGGAAGAGAGAGAGAGAGAGAGAGAGAGAGAGAGAGAGAGAGGAGAGAGAGAGAGAGAGAGAGAGAGAGAGAGAGAGAGAGAGAGAGAGAGAGAGAGAGAGAGAGAGAGAGAGAGAGAGAGAGAAAGAGAGACGGTTCACTTTCAATTCAACGTGGACTCACCTGCTCCTTCAGCATCACCGCTTGCTGCCTCTTCAGCTCCCGTTCCTGGGGAATGAAAAGTAAGTTCTTTAGCACGACCGTGGCGAAAGACCAAGCGATGTGTGTGTGTGTGTGTGTGTGTGTGTGTGTGTGGCAAACGCATGGCGCTCGTGCGTTTGCGATAATCCTCTCGTGAGAAATATTTATGTTTCGCATAGCGGATACTCGCGAGAAAAACGTTGCGCGCCCGCGTTGGCATTAACAAAGTACACCGGGGGGTGACGGGTATAGTAACGATTGTTGAATTACCTGTTGCTTCCTTTGTTGTTCTTCCAGTCGGATCTTCTCCACCTCTTCCTGCCGTTTTTTCCGCGCCTGCGCACACGCCATACACACGTCACTCGCATCCGTAATCATGGTTTTTATCGGGAGAGACTTTTGGGCAATTTTTCGGTTGTCGTTTTTGCGGGATCGCGCTCGACATTTACACAATATAGAAAGGTATGTGTAGACACATTGTTCTAACGAGCGACGAGGAAACTACCGCAGCTCTCGCCGGCGCTGATAACTAACCCCGGGACCGGGTTAACCGGTGCGCTCCCTTTTACCGCCCGCTCGTCGTCGCAGCGACGAGAGATCGAGGGGCTTGCGGGGCGAAAGAGCTGCTCGATTTTATCGCCACTCGTCACGATTTCACGTCGACGAGTCCGCGTCTACGAGAATATCGCGTGAATATTTATGCAGGATATGTCCCGCAAGGTGAAAGACTGTGCGGCGAACTGTAGAGAAACTCGAGCCTCGGAATTCACTAAAGGACCTCGTGGAACAATTAAGAAGCGTAGCTAAGAGAAGTTTTTTTACGCTCGCGTAAAACAGCGTACTTCCACGGAGGTTGACGCGAGGTCGCGACTTGGAAGGATCTAGCGGAAGACCGCTTCGGTGTCTCCGCCCCTCCGGCTTTATGATCGCGCGCGAGCTTTCAATGATAACGATGGAGTCTCGTCGACGAGACGAGCGGAGCAGCTCGACTTTTCCATTCCCTCGCTCGCTTCCGCGAACGACGCCGCTCCCTTTCGCCGCTATTTGTCGTTTTCGGGTCTCCTAATTCGCGATCCGAGGACTACGTGTGGGAAAGCGATCTCGCGTCTAAGTAGCACAGGTCAGTGACTGTGGTGAAGGGGTGGTTGAAGCGCTACTCTACAGTCTAGAGATGTAGTCGGAAATCAATCTGTAGGGCCGCTGGACGAGGGGGAGGGGGGTACCTGTTTCGTTGGCGCTAATTTCGAGGAGGAACCGCTGCCGCTAATTGCGACCTCTCAGTCGTCGACGTTCGCCCGAAAATGGAATCTCGCGACGGAGCTCTCTCTCCCCTGAGAATTTCAGACGGCGAGGAGATTTTCGAGCGGGAGAATTTTGCCGCGTGTCTCATTGTCGGACCGTAGGAAGGGTCACGGGTGGCTGGGGTCGCGGGAATGCGAGTCGCGTCCTCTCGCATCCGCTGAACTTTCGAATCCGCATCTCCTCCGCTTCGGGCAAAAAGAGAATCCCGCGCGCGCGCGGTCGATCATCGGCGGACGTCGCGCCGCACCGCTCACGGACTCCTGGGTCCCTTCTGTCGTCGGACGCGCGTTAGGCTCACCGATCTATCGCGGATCCGCGGGTTTGTTAACGCACGCACTCGGTCTCTATGTCTACCGATCGATACTGCGTGTTAAATCAGAGCGATCTCTATCGGTTCTTGCAAAAATCCTCGTACGAGGAGAGAGAGAGAGAGAGAAAGAAAGAGAGAGAAAGAGAGACAGACAGACAGAGAGAGAGAGAGAGAGAGAGAGAGAGAGAGAGAGAGAGAGAGAAAGAGTGAGAGAAAGAGAGAAGCAAAGGCATGCTATTCTTATATAAAACCCCATCAAGAAAGTGGTGGTAATACACGCCGAGAGCAAGCACAGTAAAGAGAACGACTCGCTCGTGAGAGATCGCATAAAAAAAAGGAAAAAAAAAAGAAAAAAAAAAGAATACAGCGGTCCTTCTCGCAGCGAGGCTGACAGCAAAATTGAAACCACAAATCGAAATCAAGATACTTAATTACGTAGAGAGCAGAAAAAGAGTCGCTACACGTGAGAAAGACAGATTAGATAGACAGACAAACAGACAGACAGACAGACAGACAGACAGATAGATAGATAGATAACGAGAGCGTATATAATTGTTATATAAACCAACACCGGCTATGTAAGAGACGAGCAGAGACCGAAGAAGAGAGAAGTAGATGAAGAAGTATATGTGGAGAGGTGAAACCTCAGCGGGCCATGCAGGGGAGCCAAGCCAATACTCGCCTATGTATATGCACATATTATATCAATCGTATATATGTACCATTGCTGATAAGCTGATAAAACGTTTTAGCGTGTGTCGTTTCGCTTATGAATATACAAAATGTAACAGTGAATAACACACACAGTAATATAGATAGATAAAATAGATAGATAGAGAGAGAGAGATATATATATATATATGTATAATTGTGTGTACATGTGTACATGTAATGTAATGCGTGTGTGCGCGTGCGTGTATGTTTGTGTATGTGTGTGTGTGTGTATATATATATATATATAAATATATATATATAAGTATACGTAGTAATTAATGATTAGATCAAATATATAGGTATCGCATAGTCCATACCACGCGAGATATTGTCGCGCGTCGCTCTAGTCCGCAGTACACAACGAAAGAGACGAAGGAAAGCTCGTAATATGTATCGTATATATGTACCCTCGCACGTAGCGTATATACCGAGGAGTACTCGTAGAGAGACAGGTGTGTTTCGAGAGAGACATGGCATGCTGGATAATCATGTATAGCTAGCTGTTATTTGTATAGTGACAGGAGAAGCTAGGCACAGGATAGCATTGCGACAGTCGGTTCATATATATTATCATATGTATATATATATATCGTGCCTACGTATATATCGTCAGCCTTAACGTGCTTCGAGATCACAGGTGGAGAGGGCGGGCGGGGGGGGGGGCGGGGGTCTTCGGGCGCGCGATCTAATGGATCTAGCAGATCCCGCGATTCTCGCGCCGGCCGCCCATCTTCTTCCGCGCTTCTCAGTCGTCCCGATTCTCGGGAAACGCGCCGACGGGCAACGAGAACTCCCGGGATCTCCCGCGAGAGAGAGAGAGAGGTCACGTCTCGCTGCTGTTTCTCCTTTCTCTCTGTGTATGATTATCCGGCCTCGTCGCGGATTTCGGATTTCCCGGCCGGGCATTAGAAGCAGCTCGTCAGCCCGTCTGACCGGCGGCATTCGTCGCGAGTTCCGAAAGGGACGATACATTTGCATGCAAGTGCCGCGGCGGCGGTGAGACGAGAAAAATTTCTATTTCACACACACACACACACACACACACACACACACACACACACACACACACACACACACACACACACGCACACGCACGCACACACGCACACACACACAGTCGGATTTTCTCACTCGTAGCAACGAGATGCCAAAGTGGAAGTTTGCAAAGTGGAAGATGAAAGATCAAAGAAGAATTCAAGAGAACGTTTTTCATTCGTTTTCGGAAGCTTCACGGGCACGAGCGAAAAGCGACGAATTTAAATCAAGATCGTTGCTGAAGCACGACGCGTTTCAGCAAAATTTGGAAAATTTACGTTACACTACCCGCGAGATGAAGATGTCAGGGTCTCTCGTCATTGCTCGCGAAATTGCGCGCGAGTGTCTCATTAACCGCGAATGGATTCTGTTTTCGAAGAAAGCAGCGGCGGCAATTCCCGCCGCGACAATACCGGCTGGGCGATAAGAAGAAGAAAAGTCGGAATTCCGAAATTCGCTCCGCCGCGCCGTACGAAGAGATCGGCCATCGCTGGTCGCGTTTCAACTCCTACGGAAGCATCCGGGCG